CGCTCCGGTCCCATTGTGCATTGTGAGAAATAGTTTTAGTGTCTATGCTACATATTTTGCGACCGATACCCCCTGAACCCGATTACGACTCGCTGACGAAGTTTTGTAAATACAATTTGAAAGCTCCGACCCGAACGATTTCTTGTGGAGTGAAGCTCTCATTCACTTATTGCATTAACAAACTCCACAGTCCACATCAAATCTTTATGTGTAACTACGCTGTTGGTGGCGGTAAACACCCATTTGGATGTCGGCGGTGACGCCTTATGGTTGAGCTAACCTGACCCGACCTACCCAAAATGCACGGATACATCGTCTTTGATCAAAACTAGCACGAAATTCGAAATCAGAACCCCGATAAAAAACTCACTAACAACCTCATTTTAAAAAGTTAAAATAGGACACGATTTCCCTGACTTTTAAGTCATTTACCCGAAATGAAATGCCAACTAATGACCGGCGATCTTAAAATCGGGTATCATCGGCTTCCTTTAGTTACGGTAGGACGTTCATGTTTTCGCGAAGCTATAGTTCGGTTAGAGACTGAACGATTGGGGATCCAACAGAATTCCCCTCCCCCCCGCAATTATATGCTAGCGGCTGAAAACGCGGTGACGCAAGGGGTTTTAAAGAGCATACAAACACATAAGTCCATAATCCTCGCTCGTACTGGTGTTTTGTCAGCCGCGAACGTATATGGGGGAGGGGGGGGGGTCCGTTGGAGACATAGTTTGTTACGAGAGACGCCCAATTCGAGGTTTAAAGTCCATGCTATTAAAAGCCTAATTTCAGGTATTTAAAATAATCTTGAACCGACCTGTGACCTCGGAACTCCACTTCAAGGTACTCATCAGAAGCCTCTCGTAGCGTTATTTTGTTTGCTGCCTCGCCCGTTTCGCTGCGCCTCGAGCTATGGGCTATGGGCTATGGGTTCTCGAGCTATGGGCTGGGAAAGTTTACCCCCTCCCCTCCCACCCCCACCCAGCAAGTGGTGTGTGGCGAAATACTCCAGCAACTGCCGGGTTAACCCTCGCCCGTATTGGTGTTTTGCCAGCCTCGAACGTATAGGGGGGGGGGGCGGGTCCGTTGGACCGCCCCCTTGCCGTTTGGCCCCTGATCGAGCTAGAGCTTCGAGAAAAAAAAAACGAGCGTGCTGCTCGTGACGAGAGGAAGCCGGGGTGATACCCAATTTTAAGGTCCTAGGTCATTGGTTGACTTTCCAGGTCAGGTCAATGACCCACAAGTCTGGAAAATAGGGACCTGTTAGAACATCGTAAAGTGAGGTTGATGAGGGTTTTTCGGGGTGCTGATCACGAATATCGTGTTAGTTTTGATCACAGATGATGTCTTAATGCATTTAGGCCAGGTCAGGTCAGGTCAGGCCAATCAGTAGACGTCCTGCCAAGTGCCAGGTATACATAGTACGTGTCAGCCGTTACTGACAGCTTCGTTACATGTTATGAAGACACCAAAACAACTTCGTAAATGCTCAAATGGTTGCTTAATTCGTAACCAGCTCCAAAAAGTAGCATAGAAACATGTAAAACTCGAAGAAGTGAACCTAGGTCATCAAAGGTTAATAATCTGACCTGACCTTCAGGTGACCTTGACACCCACCATATGCATGGGACCAACATCATATCACATGTTTGAATGCTTGAAACCGCAAAAATACTGCAAACGCGCGGCTAATACGAGCCGACATACACCGAATCGCGATTCCGGCCAAACATGGTCTCGAAAAATAGGCCACAGGTCAAGGCTCATTTGGGACAGGGTCATGAAACTTTAAGGGTAAGTGTACAATTGATACTCGAATTTAATTAATTGATAATTGATTGATAGACTCGACAGTACTGAAAGTTTCATCGCGATCAACCGCTTTTTACGCGAGTTATTCGCGAGAAACCATGGGGTGGGGGTCCGTTCAACCCCCCCTCTACGGGCGAGGGTTAAGTCAGTTAAATTTCTTTTGCAGTTTTCAATTTAATTTACGAATTATAATCCGGCAGCTATGGTCAAAATGAGCAGAATGCTGCTCAATGTACCAAGCGCCACTTCGTTCTCCGGCCCGCAGAGAGCGGGGATGTAAGTCAGGCACGGCCTTGGCCGTTTCCTCTGGGGCCGCGCCGTCTGCCGAGGGAGGGGAGACCTTGCCCAGTCTGAGGGAGGGGGACGACGGCGCCACCGGGACGCCCCGTCGCTCCGAGACCGGCGCTCACTGTATAAACAAGCAAAAAACGCTGGCCGTGCAAAGCTTGGCTGTGCTTTGACAGAGGAGGCATCTAGCGGAATATTTCGTAACTACACAAACTTCTAACAAAGATGTCGCTTGAAGCGCAGTTGAGATTGTAGGTTTTGATCCAACTGAAAATTGACATCTCAAGGACGACGAAATGATGTAAATTTATATGAAATGGTTTTGTATGATGCGTACTTTGATTAATGCCATTAATTTTCCACTGCCTTTTTGTGTGAAACGATTTTGTACCTTGCGGTTTTGTATGACACGATTTTGTATGCTGCGCTTTTGTATGTTTTGACTGTCCCCTACCCGGCCTGTTTTGTAGGTTTTGCGCGTTGTATGTTACGATTTTGTATGTTTTGATGATTGTATGATAGGATTTTGTATGCTTTGATATGGAGCCGAGCGAAATCGAATGCCGTTTGAATTTTGAAAATCGGCCCGCTAGATCTCGAGATATCAAGGGGGGGTCGTAAACAGCCCCCCCCCCTGCCACTAATAGGGGTAGCCAGGAGCCTGCCACTAATAGGGTTAAGGTGGGAGGGTCCCTTTAACCGTTCGACAACTCATGTGTGCTTTTTAACAAAAAAGCGCAATTCCAACGAATAGTGTTTTAGTTATTGAGTAAAAACCTTTATTGAATACCGTTGTTCAGACAAGTACTTCACCGGTACAAATAATTATGCATGGGAAAAAATGTAGGATTGTTTTTACTTGTGAATGCCTGCAACTAGGCACTTACTTTAGATTATTTGCCAATAACTGTGGAATTGAAATAGGTAAGGACCACAAAACATGACTCTTAAATAAAACCGTATCACAACATGGATCGCCAGGACACACGCTATCACCATGGAGTGACAATAGGTCAACTACATATTGTACTACAATCTAGTGACGCGTCGTTTCATAATCCAATCGTCAAAATGCCTGTTTTTCGCTACTGCAGGCATGATGATCATAGGAAAAGCGATGTGCATGACCGAAATATGCTGGCTGATAAGGGCACTAACCAGACAATATCTGCAGCGCGCCCTGTGCAGTGGTAAATACCGGTGATATGTACCATCAATAATGCCCCGTGCAATGTGAATCTGCAAAGTCTGTAACGAGCTAGTTGTGACATGCGACATGCTGCACCTCTTGTTGCACCCCTAACACTACGACTGGGTTTTTCCAACGGCAAACGATCAGTCTGGACGAACTGCAGCCAAACAGCTGACCCTGGCTCCAAACAAGATCCATTTCGTTATACGTGTAAACATGCCCTATCATTGCATCCACGTGACGTTGTGAAGAAGGGAGCGGCACAATGAAGTGAGCTTCTCCCGCTGTGACGTCGTCAGCAGCGCGCCGCACGCCCACGACAAACTGACAGCACTTCGACGGCAACCTTGCCAACATGTCAGATCGGCGACACTTTTACCCCAGCCTGAGCCCCTGATCCACCAGCTAGGAATCGCATGACTCTGCCGGATTGATGGCTAAATGTCGGCTCAACCAGCTTATAACCGATAACACTGCGGCGATGTTCAATAGATTATAGGTACTGGAAGGGAATAGCGCGATCAGATTTGTTCGAACATACGAAACAATAATCTTCTATTCAGAAAACGGCGTTGTTAGCGAGTCAATCGTTTTCATCATATTCGATTCGCCCGCTGTCCTTGAACAGGGATATATCAGACTCTCGACTCCGTCGTCATTGAAGGACGGCGTTTGATCAGCATTCATGCCTGGGCTCCGGAGACCCATTCTAAGCCGCCCCAATAAAGCGCCGATCGGGAGGCACCGATACCGGTTTCTTAATTTTATCCATACAGTTCTAGCAACAGGCTTTGCAGAGTTCATGACAATACTGCCATCGGGGAAAAATCCTAGCCGAGCACGATATCACGCGACGAGCTATGCACCATCGTATGAACTTCATTTCACGCACCTATGTACGACAGTGGTATTACATCGATCATGTGCATTTCCTGTCAGCATTTACCTGGTGGACGGTGTGGGGTCACAATAAGTTGCTAAGCGGACAAGTATGTGCACTGCAGGCCCGGCGGTTATAGAAATCAGGCTGGACAGTGGACATCGTGGGAATATACTTTTTCAAACACAGTCGTCTGAAGTCTCAACGATATCATTCTTACGTGATAGGTACGACTTACATGTTTATGTGATACGACAATATCATGCCTATTATGTGATTTGATGATGAGAAAAGATGCATGACCTTAAATTATCATGGAGTTATGGATTTATTGCGCAGCACCACTGTCCAGAGGTCTACGCTTGGTACTTAGAAACTATGTTCATGATTCAATTCATGAACTTATAATTTATTTGAGCTTAGAAGCAAATTCATTACATTTATGAGGGTGCGTCAGCGCAGCAACCAATGCTGCAGCATCTTTCCAAACTTCCAACCGCTTATGTCAAAGTATAAGTAGGTACGATTATGTTCGATAGCACAGTAGGTATGTACAAGCGGCTGTCACTGCTGCAATGCCAACAATTAATTTCCGGCGTTCAACAGTGCGTCACAATGTCATTCGACGATCAGTTTACAATCACTTCAGTGCGTGGTGGGAACGTTACGGTAGCCGCATTCCAAAGGTTATCCGAAAGTGGCCTTCCAAAAGGTAAACATACCTATAACTACCAATTCGTCGTTAAACTTCAGTCAAACAAGTGGTAGAAACCGAATTATCTAGGCTGTGCAGAAGCGCTGTAATCCTTTCCCCCGGCCGCGGATGGCCCCTGAGGAGGGCTGGTGAGCCGGCCTGGGCCGACAGGCCGCGGTGGTCGTCACGCGACGTCGGCGGCGCGCCGGGTCACCCTGACAGCTCGTCCAGTACTGCAGCAGAGGGGTGCCGCCGCGCCGCGTCAGTCCCGGCTCGTCCCGAGTGTGAGGTGCACCCGCCCGGCGCGGTCGTCCAGTGAACGTGCGGCCGAGCGCAACTACCGACTGCTGCAGCGCGCGGAGGAGCGACAGCCGACATACTAGGTGGAAAGGTGAGACGTATTTAGTTTTCAATATGTGGATCACGTTCGTCACAATACATATTTTGTTTTAGAGATTTTACTAAATTATTCATATCTGAGGGATTTCCGTGAGATATGGGAAAAACGGTTGCTTCTGAAAAGTATTTTGGTTAGAAGACGTGGAAATGAGGGTCGGAAGATGCAAAATGTTTTTTGGATGGTGAGCTGGGTCAGTCCTCTTTCGTGAATAGCTGTAGGTAACTACTGTTGGACACATGAGATGCATAAAGTTGGCAGTGCAAGTATTTAACTTGCTTCTCGCTCGTAGGCACTGGTTTCATCATGCGGTTACCGGATCTTGACACTAATGAACCAGTAACAATCATTCAATGTGTATCGCAAATTTTCCTGCCAAGAAGCATCGCGTCACAACTCACACTTTGTGTGAAAAATAAAATGTCGCTCACCTTACACTGGGCCCGCCTGATTATATTCGACATGGCTTTCCCGTCTAGTTTACGTCAACGTGCCTTTGTGTTGGTGAACAGCTCTCATTTCGGCTTAATTTGCAATTACACAGTTGTTGATGATCAGCAATAAACTTGTCATTTGATCTGGAAGGTGTATGCTGTCCGTGAGTCGATAGGTAAAAGTGCAACTTGCAAGCATCGAGTAATGTACCTATAACAAGAAATCAGCGATCCCGTCCTTCCCTTCACCTTTCGCACAATGATACCTTGCTTCCGCTTGGATTTGTGGATTCCCAATCGACCGAAGCACCACGGCTTATCCTGTTTATCCTACACATCACCTTAAGTCCTGATGTTAGATTTCCAATTTTGCAGTATTATAGTTCACGCAATGCGCTATGAAGACAATGATAAAAGAGTGTGTTTGCTATACCTTTCTGATTTTTGTTACCGTCTTCGTTTTAACTACATCGATAAGAAATCAATGTAGCGAAACACTGCGCACCTTTACTGTTGCATGTCACTTGGCTGGTCCGCAGACTTCTTTATTTCCACACCTGCATATCATTTTCAATCTTGCGAGACGGTACTCAGCATGCTCAGTATTGATGGAGCGCACCTCAGATGATGCGGCTAAGCTGCACAAAATCCTAGTTAAATATTTTTTGCCGAAATAAGATCTAAACAATGATATACATTTGAGGTATATTTGTATTATCTTAGCTTCATATAAACTGCATGATGTAGGCATGTGATAATTGATAACATTTATACACCACTCTTGGCAGAGCGAACTGCGAAGTTTATCGGGACTTGGTTCGTTCACCTATCCCTAATTATTGGCCATTGACCTTCGCACCCTAGCGGAATATTTAACGGTGACAACCTTTCTTTCCGGTACCGAATTAGGCATGCCTATTATGTAACGTCACACAGTAGGTATACCTAATTGGGTTCCTTTTCCGCGCATTTCAGTCTGAATGGAACATGAACTCTCGGTCATATGCAAATGTAAAAATAAGAGTTTGTTTTAGACAGCACAACTGCATTGTCATGTGAATTGTGAAAGCTGGTCAAAATTTTCTTACAAAATACCATATGATGCCTTTCTCAGCAAATTTGAAGACTGCCTATTAAGTCTTTAATATCCAAAGACATTGCAAATCCAAATAACATGTAAACGCTGCTTAGCTAAGGATAAAAACCAATTTGTTAACATTGTGGTCATCGATACAAACAACCGGTTCAAACAAACTGATCCATTGCAAATTTATTGCAATATCGCACTTTTTGCACGGCTCGCACAGCGGCACGTGCCACGTGCCCGTGCTATGGCCACATGGCGAGTTGATATCACCATGTATCACTAGCTAGGTATGTGGTGGAAGGAGTGACACTATCTGGTCCATAGGAGCGTCATGGTCGACCGGCTGCCCGCTTCGGTAATTTACGGCTATCAAAACGGTGACGAAGCCGGTTTGGTCCGCTCATACTTTTATTTTTATTTACCCGAGCCACGCATGAACTCGCTCGCTCGCTAATAATACACTTAGGACTTACCATATACCACAGACCAATGGGTTCAAGAGCAAGGTCGAATGCTGCTATTTACGGATCTACGTGCAATGTGCATATTACCGACGAACCACCAAAAATCGCTCGGATTGCGTATTGCATAATACACATACAGGACAATGAAATGTCATCAACATGCAACTAAGTGTGCATCACAGACCGCAACTATGAATGTCGAAATTTTCTCAAACCGCGGCACGCACCACATTATAACGGAGCTAAGCACGTTATAACTGAGCGGAGCAGACGTGCCCCATTCGATTAGTGTCATTTTGCAGCGATGCGATCCTCAGACAACATACCTTCCAAAAAAGCGCCATATGGTTCCACGCAAGGACTCGTGTCCCTTCAATGCTAGCGTGCTTGAATGAAGCACAGATGATTGCGTGATTGAAGGGTGAGCCTAGCCGTCATTAGTGAGTTCAAGGCTCAGCGTCGAAAGTTCTACATTGGGATCATTTAGCAAAGGATGATCGTCATACCCGTTGGCTGCAACAAGTGACTGGCTGATGTTCACTGAAATGATATCGCACTATAGGCTTCCCGCACGTTCCACACTGTAACGACTTATCCTCCATGCTTCCTTTCATTCTTTCATATGTGATTCACCTATGTAACACTGTGCTTTGGCTCCCCGTGGATTTTAAAACTCCACGGTTTCCTTCATTCTATCTGGTGCGATTCACTTGCATGACAGCTGTGTTTTGACTATTTCCAGGTGTATTCCGGTGTCGGTGACGTCAGCCGGAGATTCAGCCATGAGGCGACGCAGGGTGTTGGCGGCGATGGTGCTGGCAGTGACGGCGGCCACGGCCTCGGCCAACATGGTCACCGACCTGCCCGGCGGCGGTCACGTGGAGGTCGAGACGGGCAGCCGCGGCCAGGTGTGTATGTACATCACCGACGACTGGGGTACCGTGGAGACCACCCAGTGCACCTCGCAGCCGGGCACCTACACGCTGACCGGCCGGGGCGGCGGCCAGGCCCGTGTCACCATCAACGACTTCGGCGGCGTCTCCGTCAACACCGGCTACTTCGGGGACGTGGAGCACAGCGGAAACTCCGCCACCAGTCACCACCGGCAGCAGCAGTCCAGGCACCAGCCCAGTGAGGAGGAGGAAAACAGCGTCCGGTTCGGCGCCTTTGTGAACCCGCGCCCGGTCGCGCCGCCCGTTAGCCCGACAGAGGCCAGCCCGGTGCAGGCGCCGTCGGCATACGCGGCGCACTGGCCGGCGTACCGCCAGCGAAGGCCGCTGCGCCGTCGGCCCACGCCGCCGCCGACCCTGCCGCCCAACCGGGTGCCGCACCTGCCCAACCGGGCGCGGCCCACGTTCGGGCCGCTGGTGCTGCCGCAGGGGCCGCCGGTCACGGAGGCCGGTCTCGGAGCCGTGGAGATCATCGCCTCCGGCCCCGGGCAGCTCACTGTGTTCGGTGACGGCCCCGATACCGACGGCGACTCGGGCCTGGCGCTGACCGGTCCCTCCTCTCTGTACCCCACCATCAAACCGCTCATCGCCAGGAAGAAACGGAACCGGTTCAGCTCGTCAAGCTCCTCGGACAATGAGGAAGACGGCCTCAGCAATGTGCGTCTTACGCGCAACTCCAATGGAGCTGCCACAATGTTCGGGGGACCTGGCCACCAGTTTAGCTCCGTTCAGTCCCCAGGTCATGGCTCAGTTCTCAACAGCCGGCAGGGCGCAAACCGCTTCTCTTCTGTCCAGTCTTCTGACGGCAATTCAGTTCTGAACAGCCAGCAAGGCGCCAATCGCTTCTCCTCTGTCAACTCTCATGATGGCAGTTCGGTTCTCAACAACCAGCAAGGTGCCAACCGCTTCTCTTCTGTTCAGTCACCGGACGGGAGTTCGGTCCTGAACAGCCAGCAGGGGGCCAACCGGGTCTCTTCGGTCCAGTCTGCTGACGGCAGCTCGGTGATCACCAGTCAGACGCCGGACGGCCAGCGGCTGGGCCTGGTGCGCTCCCCCGACGGCTCGGTGGTGTTCAGCACGTTCATCGACGGCCGGCTGGTGAACGTGGTGCAGTCCTCGGATGGCTCGTCGGTGGTCAGCGCCAACATCGACGGTCGCCAGGTGACGGCGCTCACCTCACCTACCGGGCAGCGGCTGATCGCCGGCGCCGGGCCCGGCCACAACCTGGACGCCTTCTTCAACCGGGTCATGCTCCAGCTGGCTGGCACGCAGTAGTCGCCCGAGTGCACCTTCGAAAGGCAGATGAAGTCGCGAGTCGTGGTAGTTTGTTGACAGGACGAGCCGCAAGCCAATAAGGTGTTCTGCACATCCTGTTGGTAGACTGATGGCGAACACCTAATGAAATACAGGGTAGTTGAGGACGGATTTTCTTATTGCGCTTTTCCTGATAAGAAGGGAAAAACAAGCGTAGGTAGTTGCTTTTAATTCATGCTTCAATCACGTGGTCTTACTTTGGATATAAGTGATTTTTTAAACGGATCCGGATGCTGCTTGTGCCACGAACACGAAGGAAGATGGAAATCGATTTAGGAGTGACACTGCTGATGTTAGCTAGCTCGTGGGAGGGTTAGATTATTAGACTCTAGAGCTGCACCGCGCCTTCCACATCAGCGAACTAATAGCTTTGCTACTAACAGCGTTCGCTTACTTTCAACGTTACCTTTCAAATAAGCATCACATAAATTGTCGACTCTGTTTGAGGCTGTGCTGCCTGGAAAGTTGGGAAATGGGAGTTCCTATGAAGTGTCGCTGAATGTTTATCATCCATGTGTAGGACCTGAGCTCACTGCATCGCAGAACCTTTCCCGCCGTCGTCTTTTGTTTATACGAGATGTTTATGATGTGCTAAGCTATAGACATCACCATTGCAATGGTACATACACTTTCGCTATTGAATGTTAGATTGTTTTTGTGCAACGATGATCGATACATGAGCAGTTTATGCATATTTGAGAAACATTTATATGACGGCGGAAAACGAGTTGCAGGCACAGCGGACCTGATAAGCTTTCGATGCCCATCTCGGAGATTCGTTGCTGCCGATTTGAGAACACATTTGTTAATCCTTTTCGTAACTAAGTCAGTTAGCTCAAAATTTTGATAACTGCCGAATCAATGGACGTTTAAGGATCGATTATTTACGCATAAAATAGCTCACGATCCATGCCACAAATACTTTGTGCCGAGTTAAACATGACCCCGGTCCAAAGGACGCAGCACAGTGCGCGTTACATTTGATCGATGCAGCCCTCCTGTCACGCCGCTCATAACTGAAGCGCAATCGTAGCCGAGCATTCTCTGCTGTCTTTCGTGCCGAATAAAGTCAACGTTTAGTCGTGCTGAGCGATGTTAACAGCTTTTAGCAAACTGTCATGTTCACCTGTTTGTTTCTTCAACTGCTTCGTGTTTAATTTATCCATGCGGCTGGCAAAGAAGAGGCATGTCTTGCATGTCACACACGAAATATCTGCCCCGGTTAAAAAGGTAAATTGTTTAAGCGAGAAAAGCGGTGATCCATTAGCATCGGCGAGCATGTCCGGAAATCCGAGGTGGCACGCCATTTGTTCGGCGGGCCGATGTTGGGGGACGATGGCTACCGAGCGGCGCTCCTGCCGGTCGTGTTTTCCTCGAGCAGCGCCGCCGGCCAAGGACAGCCCGGTGCGGCGCGGCGCGGCCCTGTGTGCCAGATGTCGGCTATTGTCTGCAGCACCCGTTATGGCGCGCTGCCCGGCCGGCCCGCTGCAGCCACCTCACGTCAACGCTCGATGGCACTTTCACGAAAATTCGCCACACAATGGGAACTTCCCCAGGAAGACCGACTTAACGAATTCCGCTTAAATGCCTCCTGCGCTTTCAGATCGAAGCCAATGAAAAGCATCACAAACATTGCGCCTGTTGCGATGAGTTTTTCCGCGTGACATCACGATCCTTCTTGTGAAGAGCTAAACATGACATAAAATGGAAGAAATACTGGTCATTACGCCATAAGTGTCGCTATTGTCGGTTAATACATTACCTTACCAGTCGACTGATGAAGCTGGTTACGGAACTAATTAACACTCTGTGAAAGCATGCCCATGGTGAATGGCAGCAAGTACTTATGCATGACTCATTCGTGGGCGATTTACTTTCACTTCTGAGCCGAAACGTACAATTTCCCCCGCTCGAAGGGGATGGTGCCACTCCCTAGCGGTCAGGTTTTTAGAACGCGTCGCTGAGACCTTTCGTTTGGCATTGCTTTCATACTCACGACTTTTTTATCTATGGATATACCTACACAGGTGAAAAACGAAAAGTACTTTTTCTTCCGTTGGCTATAGTGTTCAGGCTCACTCCCCTCCCCGGCTCGGTCATTTTAAGTGTAAGGTCAGGTCATTGACCTCGCCACTTTTCTTTTGACAGTAGCCGAGCAGCCCATACAGATAAGTACCTAAAGTTTGTCCGTGTCTGGGTAAATAAATAAAATAGAATACGCTAAAAAATAACCCAAGCCGGCGTTTTAACATTTTTCAATGATATCTCAATTTCTATGAGAAAAAAAAAGACACTTTTAAATGGCCTCCTTACAATGAAATACCAAATGATGACATAATGAAATAATTATTGATGATTTCGACCACATGTCATTATCAAAATCAGCCAGACAGAACTTTTGTCGGCTTATTTCTGTCTGGCTTATTTTGATCACAAAAGTTCTGTCTGGCTTATTTTGATCACAAAAGTTCTGTCTGGCTTATTTTGATCACAAAAGTTCTGTCTGGCTTATTTTGATTTTGACCTGTGGTCGAAATCATCAATAATTATTTCATTATGTCATCATTTGGTATTTCATTGTAAGGAGGCCACAAAAGTGTTTTTCTCATGGAACCTACCTATGCCTTACATATAGCAAGTGCTACAACAAGTAAATATCACAATTTCCTTTAAATCACCCGAGGGGGGGGCTATGGGAACACTCCAGTATATCTCTTATTACGGAGCGAGCGAAGCGAGCGGAGTCTTTACTTAGATATCATCCATTGCCAAAGGTCTTTAAAGGTAGAAATTTCTGAGTATGAGCGGCCGGCCGTGCGGACGCTTTTGCGAGGCTTATATCTCAGCAACCACTTGACCGATTTACACGCGGTAATTTTTGTAGGGTAGCTTCATTCCTTCTACCAAGTATTGGACTATTCCCGATGCGTGTCGGTGACCTCTTATGCACGTGCCAACTGCCACGTGCAAAACGAAGAGGTGTCAGTTTTGTAATTGTTGCAATATCTTGGTAACTACTTGGCCGATTGCGCTGAAAGTTGGCATGCAGGTAGGCACCCACTAGGCACTGCATATCCATGTGCCAGAGTTGGGGTGCTGCTGCACGTGCGCACGTGCAGGGGTCGTTTCCAGATCTCGAGAACGGCTGGACCGATGGCGCTCAAATTTGGTACACGGTTAGGGACCAGTTAGTAGGGTGCCGTGCACAAGTCAGTTGGGACCCATTTTGCACGTGCGCACGTGCAGGGTGCCGCTTGCAGATCTCGAGAACGGCTGGGCCGATTGTGCTCAAATTTGGCACATCGCTAGAGACCGGTTAGTAATGTGCCGTGCACAAGTCAGTTGGAGGTACCCCCTCGAAATTTCGCACGTGCAAGGCCCACCCTCTCGCTCGCTCCGTTTGTCGCCCCAAAAGGCGTTATACTGGTTTTTGCTTTTGTAGGTGAAAAAAATCGGTGCGAAGCACCACTAATTTGGCATAGCTTTATCGTGCGGCAGTTTTGTATCGGTGAAATGTTTGAACCTAGGTCACTTAAGATTAGGTCACAGATTAAGTTAACCTGCGCCGTGCTGGGGGTCGCCGTTTTCGGTAAACCTGTTCAGTGTTCATACATCCTTTCCGCACATGTGAAAATTTCAGACCCCCGTCGTTCAAGGTCAGGTCACCCTAGCTCACGTCAAGTGACCTTGCCTCAGAAAAAGTTAAAAGGCTCGAGTCAGATGTGTTCAGCTCGACGATACGGACCGACTAATATGCAGCAACACCCTTTTCGGTCATGTCATGACCTTGACTTGAGGTCAAATTTTCCAAATGACCTGTCAAGATCAACTTAGGTATAGTTAATTCGACGTGTCTCGACGGGAGGAACACAATGCGGGAAAAAGTAATGTCGTGGGTCTCTTGAGTCAATAGTGATTACTGAAAAACATTTTTTTTTTGTAAAACGGTTATTTTTAGAGGTTTTGGCCTCTGGGGGCTAAAACGTTGACACGAGGTCAAATTTGAGGACATGCTGGCGAAAGAGCGTTAAAGGAGTTACCGAATGCCCTTTTCCGCGGCGCTGTAACTCTATTGGTTCCCGCGTTATGCGTTGGGTGTTTCGAAAACTGTTGAAATAGGCAAAATTTTACCTTTAATGACCTCTGGTGACATGACCTTTGACCTGATCTAAAAAAAACGATTTTTTTCTGTTATTATTTTTGACGCTCTTTCGAATGCCATGTAGCTACATGGCCCAGGAGGAGTTGGACGGGGGACGTGACAACCCCCCCCCCCCCGCACGACACGGAAAACTCGACTAGGCAGCACGCTGCACGGCGCGGGTTAACCCTGTTCCTGGCGGGCTCCGCCGGGACAAGAAACTGGCGGGGGGGGGGGGGCCGATTCGCCCCCCCCCCTTCAGATCTCAAAAACTACACATCGCAGCGACAAACGGTAAACGGCATCGGATACGCACGGTCAAGATCTACAATTTTTACTAAGGTCATTTTCAGGTCAGGTCAAAGATGACGTCACAGGGGTCGAAAAAGTCAAAATGGCGGCGCTAGATATGGAGAGCGTTTTTCTCGAATAACTTTCGAATTAGTCAAGATAGGAACAAACTAAGGGCATCATCGTGATCCTCTCGTCAATCCGCATCGAATGATATATATGTTGACCTCGAAAGGTCAAGGTCAAAGGTTGACCTCAGGTCACGTGACCTCGAGGTCATCATGTATATCATTCGATGCGTCTTGACGAGCTGAACACAATGAGATCATCCACGCTTCTGTATCTTGTTCCTGTACGGAGTTATTGGCCAAAAACCTTTGGTGACCTTTGATGACGTCACATGACCTCACAGCTGCCCAACAGCAAAACAGACCTCAAGGTAGTGAAGGTTGATCGTATATGAAGTCATGTATGGTATATGGGGCCATTCCGACCCGTTTTTTCCCCCATTGACTTATAATGAGGAGGTCGCGAAACTGACCTGACCTTAGGTCACCGATATCAAAATTCCGAGATATACAAATTGCACATACTGGTACCCTAACTAAAGCCTGAAGAGAAGAAATTGATCGGTCAAAAACTCTAGCTCTGGCGTGATTGCAAACTTTTCTGAGGTAGGGTCACCAAACCGCCTCTGGTGACCTGACCTGAGGTCAGATCAACTCAAAATTTTCAGACATGTTGCGTAGAAGCCTTTTAGGAAAAGTCAGAAAATTTGAGCTTCCTAGCTCAAAGCGTTTGGGAGAAATAACCAAAAAACCTCAGGGGGGGGGGCTCCTGAGGCCCCCCCCGCCAGGAATAGGGTTAAGCAACTATCAGCCTTCAACAATCTTTGCGATGGTGTCATTCCTACAGCTAATATCCCATTCGTTTAAAACTTGGTGCTCCCGTGAGCAGTGAGGTATCAGTAACATCAATTCGTAGGAATATCTTGGATTTCTCATATTTGTGACCTGGGGTCAGGCCAGATTTGTGACCTCACCAGTCACCATTAGGTAGGGCAATAGGGAAAGTTGCAAATGCCTCCTGGTTTGAAAAATGTCAAAACACAATATATTTGCCTACGGAAACATGACCATTATGCTCATATGCAATGAACATGGGGCACAGCTGATGACGAGCGACTACTAAAGAAAGCATATGTATTATATCATAACATAAAATTCATCAGTAACTTATCGACAATAACTTTTGACGTACAATAACACCTAGAATGTGATTGGGTCATCAATACGGATCGATTGATATGCAACATGAACTTTTCCGGTCAGGGGGGGGGGGGTAGTATGGAAAGGAACTAGGTATTGCAGATATTTTCCTCTTTAAGAGTTATCCTCTAAAATTATTGATTCTATTAGAAAAAATAACTTTTAATAACTCTGAACGTTTGCACGAAACTGCCCCACCCATGGTAATGAGCAGTAATCGCCACGCACATCGTATGTGGATCGCTCTTAAATGTAAATACAATGGGGTACTTTCGTGCAAGGGGTGGGGCACTTCCGTGCACCCTGCAAAGTTCGAGCAATTACCGGGCATTACCAGAAAGTTACCAAAAGAAATTGGCAGGGGGTCATTTCACTTGATTCCTTTCGACAAGAATGCATTGCACAACATATGAAGAACTAGAAAGAATGGGCTGGCCAACAAGAATGTACCAGCTGCCGGCCTCCGTGACCTCGCCAAGGTCGCGTGAATCACTTGTCACGACGTCGCAAGCAGCCGAGACTAAGTCAGGCGAGCGTCATTAGTGAAACCTACAGATAAAGTTATAAATCGCAAAAACGAAAAAAAATGCACGAATGTGCCTCTAGGCAGTGCATACACGACCCTGCCCCACAACGTTTTTCTAAATATTTTTCAAAATTTCTTGTTAAAAAATGACACTTTTTCAACAAACAAGTTTGCAGCAGTTCCGTGAATAGAGTAAGCTTCTTCGCCCCCAAATTTTGAAAAGCTGAACCACATTTCCAAGTCAGGATCACGAAAATTGATGATATGAGAAAAGTTTGGAAAGCGCACGAATATTACAAATTTGCGTTTTTATCAAGCATGACAGCAGGTACGGTGTTGTCTTCTACAGTGAACGAAGGGCGGCAAGGATAGACATATTTCCATAATTTACCTTGACGGCTCGTGCAGTCACTCGTTTTCCCATAAACTTCTGAAAACGAATGTGCCCCATGCACGAATGTGCCCCACTCTCCCCTATCGGCCTTGCACCGCAGTTGCCGAAGAACAGACTGAGACTGATTGCCCAAAACGTGTTCTTAGGCTGCCAAGACAATATTCGTTGCATACAATATCATGCAAAGGTCAGGGTCAAGGTCAGGTCAGGTCACCAAAAATGAAATATAGAAAAGGGCATGTGCGGCACATGTTTTATGGGTCATTTTATTCATAGAATTCAATAGACACACTCAATAAGTGATATGGACCACATCTGGATGAATTTCAGGTCAAGTTCAGGTCAAGGTCAGGTCAAGTGAGGTCAAATTTTGAAGTTGGTTGTTAAGACCTAAAAAGGTGTCTATCTGATGCAGTTTTTTTACGGCGAATCGAATGATGCTATTTTTGTTTCCGTAAGCGGTCTAGAACTTCGATTTTTTTAAATTGTGTGTCAAGACGTCATAAAATTTTGAATAACTCTTACATTTTTGAACCGATTCTTCTAAAAATTGGTATGTAGGTGCTCACAGACCACTTCTGTGACATATATTCCCGTTTTTTCGATTTACTAAAACTTTTGGATTTTATAATTATTTTCCCAAAAAGTCAGTTTTTTGAAAAATTTGGGCCAAAATCCAAAATTCTAAAAACCGAGATAGGCGTTTCATAGACAAAGTAGAATTACGTATAACCTTTTTTGTTACGTCTTGATTCCTTTAAAAATGAAGATGTTAGCGGCGTTTGAAACTTTGCCGTTTTTAGGCGAAAATGGCGGACATGACGTCACTGAAACGTCAATTTCAAAAAAAAAATCTGAAGGATTTCGCTCCAGTTTTCAGGAAACGTGTTAAATTGACGTATGATAAGGTACTGTCTAATGAAATTTTGGCGTCGCTAGCGTAACGCTTTTAGACGTTATTGGCGAAAAACGGGAGGGGGCAGATTCTGCCCCCCCCCCTCCCAGCGGGGCGCGGGCTAAGGATTTTTTTTTTTTAAGTCAACCTCATTAGGTCAATTTGTAGCTCATTGAAGAAGTCTGTACGAGAAAAACATGATGGCGTCAAAAGCAATGTCCCACAAATATTGCCGTTTTTCTGCGACTCTACATAGCTCTTTTGGCTCACGAGAAATAGTCGCTTTGTGAACAGTGAAATAGTCAGAATCGGAATTATTCGTGACCATTGGTAACCTTCCTCCAGTGACCTCAGCGATGACCTGATCAAAAATGTCCTAGATAATTCTGAAAGATCCTGTAGCGAGATATATGCTGCTTTTCTGCGTCTTTCTAGCTTGCTTACTTTCCGAGATAATCTGGTATGACCAAAAAGGCCCCTTACCATAGCGAAGTTGGCTGAGAGGCCCATCCGGGCGCGGGCTAAGCAAAACATCCATGGTTTTGTCTTCCGTTGACTACATATTACTCTTCACGTCGATTTAGAGACAATATTTGGCTATTTAAGCAAATTGAGGAGGTCGTTGGTAATTGGTTTTACTGGGGACAGTCCCCAGTAGGCAGTAACCCACAAGTTAATCAAATGTGGACCGGTCCCCAGTGCCCCCAGTTGGTGGTTACGCGCCTGGACTTGAGGTCAAGTTTATGCATGACCTGACCGGAAAAAGAACGCTGCATACCAAGTCGATCCGTATCGTCAAGCCGAAAAGAATCAATGTGTTTTGTGGCTCATCTACGCCGAACTGTCGAAATCTGCAATTGCACATGCTACTGAACTGTGCGCACTATGTCGTTATTTGTCAAAAAAAGGTGTGGGTATAATATACCCCGCGGTCGATGTCTTTCGGACCACGAAGATTCTACGCCGTCCGGCCAATCCCGTTCAAGATCAGTGGGGGCTCGACTGCAGCTATGGAACGTGATTGGCCGGACGGCGTAGAATCTTCGCGATTCTACGTCGTCCGGCCAATCACGTTCCATACATAACCGCAGCCACGCCCCCGCTAACCTTGAACGTGATTGACCGGCAGTGACGGATCCAGGGGGGGGGGGCAAAATGGGTATTTGCCCCTCCCAAACGGCATAATTTTAACATTACGCCTATGGACGAGGCATGGAAAGAATCGATAAATTGTTATTGTTTGCCCCCCCCCCCAAAGCTCTGAGCTGGATCCGCCTCTGTTGACCCGGCGACGTAGAATCTTCGCCGTCCGAGAGACATCGAACGCGTTACGCGGGGCAAGGATCTATAGACCAGACTTGTCCCGCGTTCGATTTGTCGGACGACGAAGATTCTACGTCCAGAGGCGGATCCAGCTCAGAGTTTTTTTTTTTTTGGGGGGGGGCAAACCATAACAATTTATCGATTATTTCCATGCATCGTCCATAGGCGTAATGTTAAAATTATGCCGTTTGAGGGGGGCAAATGCCCATTTTGCCCCCCCCCCCCGGATCCGCTTCTGTCTACGTCGTCCGGTCAATCCCGTTCAAGGTCAGCGGGGGCTCAGCTTCGGCTATGGAACGTGATTGTTCGGACGACGCTAGACGTAGAATCTTCGCCGTCCGAGAGACATCGAACCCCGAGTTAGTACCGGCTAGTACGGAGGGCGTGTTTCTTTTTTCCAACCAAAGGAAGGCGCTATACCCGAAGATGCTTCTTGGTAAACAAACCAAACAAAAACAAACATAACCTAACCTCACCTGACCTAACCTACAACCTACAAACCTACAACCTACAACCTAACCTACAACCTAACCTACAGACCTACAACCTACAAACCTACAACCTACAAACCTACAACCTAACCTACAACGCGCCAAAAAGTTCGGCCGGCGGCGGGGATCGAACCCTAGTTATTAGATCACGAGGCGAGTGTGCTCACCACTACACCACGCAGCCAGCTGGCCGGTGAGAGGTGTAAGTCACTTCTCAATGACGCAATGGGATATTCTCCGTATAGCGCCTTCCTTTGGGTGGAAAAAAGAATTACGCGTACGGAGGTATCCGAGTGTGCTTTCGCTCGGGTAGTAATAAATGTGCCACCCACAAATGAAAGATAAATTTTAATAAATTGCACATAAAAAATGACTTTGTTTAAAAAAGAAAAATACATTTTGAATAAAAAAGTACGGGTCAGATAACCTAGAGCAAAATACTTTTCTTCCAAAATAAACAATTATGAAAAATGGCAACGCGGTAGTCCTTTTGGATGTTGACATCCGTTCAGTGCAAAGATGGTGAGTTTGCGGATATTAATTTAGACATTTTCAACTGGTTTGCCTACTTATATTCTATCCGTAGGATATTCAATTGTTGAGGCACACCGTCTTTGGTATTTAAGTGACGGCAACGCCATTAGCGAAAGTCGTGTTATGCCGTATTTAAGTGGTTCTCTTTGTGGCGCGCATTCGTCCGACCGGTGCTGTGTTAATTCTAACCCAAGGCTGAAAGTGACCATCCCACATTAAACGGACCCTCCCACCTTAAAAAAGTTAATGAATTGGCATGAAAGGGATGTCCCTTGGTTCAGAAACAGCGAAAACGAATATCTACCAAATTTCACTGAAAAATATTCACTGGTTTTCAAGATATTAGGCTTTTACTTATTAGGCTTTTACTTTTGTTTACTTTTTGGGATCTCCCCTGTTACTAGCGACTTTATTTGGAAGCAATAATTTGGCAGCCTTAAAGTGCGGCAGACGTTGCGTGCAAAGCAGCGTATACCACCACGTGTTAACGATGGTTTTAGTCTAAGATTTATCAATCGTTAGATCTCCGCTGACGTCACAAATTCTAAGGGGGCATTCCAATGCATTAGCCCCCTAGAATCCGAAAACTGCAAGTTTGAAATTCCATATCTTCGAATTAAAGCATTTTTTGATGTTGTGAGTGCCCAAACCGGTATTTGCAGGCCATGGCCACCAATTTGGCTATCTCAACTCAAAACTAATGTTAAGGTGGGAGTGTCCCTTTAAAGGTAGTGTGCCAGCTTTCTTGGACCGTATGGAGTTAATGGCCCAGATAAGGAGAACCGGATTTTTAGAACTTATCCATACCTTCAAAACTCATGGAAACGTCTTAAATTCTTCAAATTTTGAGTACCCCAGTGCGAAATTCGCCCCGACGGGTTGTCGGTCGTACCCCAACCAGGGCCTCGTCTAAGGAATTTTCACTGGGGGGGGCCAGAGACTCAAGGAGCCAAACCTAGGGTACCCCCAAATCCTGTTTTCTCATCGGATTTAGGCCACTTACTTTTCGTCGCAGCCCTGACACCATTTTTTTTTTGAAACGTTAAAACCAAAAAAAACGGGACATCCGAGCCATGCTTTTACATCAGTCTGTTCATCACATCAGCCTCGAAGGCTAGACTGTTGATCTGAGTTAAAATTCAACGACATACTCCCGTTATGGCTATGACAGAGCCATTATTTCTTCGTATGCGCTTTTTGACTCCTCTGGTTCGTGCAAGGTAGAGTTACAACATTTTTTATTATAAATTTAGCCCGAGCGAGCGCCTGAAGTTATGCTCTACCGTAAAGCTTTAGAAATTGAGAATCTCCGCCAACAGTGCGGAAAATGGCTCCAGATATAGAGCTGTTGAAGGAGCTGCCATTCGTGGTTCCGAATCTAACGGCTTTCAAAATGCAGGGCATGCTTCGGCCCTGTCCCTTACCTACCAGTGAAATGTGCGCGCTCTTGCTCGAAAGGGTCAGCTGGTACCGCGGTCGCCGCATCGACGGGTCTGGCTGGCCTCTCGCCGGCATCAGGGGCGACGGGAAAACCAACGCCAATCGTCTCATCGGGTTATAAATTTAGCATCGATGTTTTCTTGACTCCTTTGCTTTATGTACGTTGACGCCTCGCAGAAAAAAAATCATTTGCCTTTTCGCTGTTGCCGGCCCCCCAGTAGGGACGTTTTTGCCCTGACTGGGGGGGCCAGGCCGGTGACTGCGGGGGTTTGGCCCCCCCAGTTAACATGTTAGACGAGGCCTTGACCCCAACCACATTTCACACCACTATGAACAATAAATGCACACACTGAAATCGCTATTACCGATATGCTCATCCAATCAAGTTTCGATAAACCCGTTCATCATCATCTCCTGCGGTTTCGAACACGCCTGTTAGGTGGCTTCTGATGCTCGTCGAGGTCGGAATTTCCAAATACGCGTGGTGCGTCGGGCCGCGCGCTCTGACTTCGGCCAAGAAAAATGTGTCAGCTGATCATTGTCATTTCTGCCACTTGCGTGTGGTGAAATGGGGTCATAACTTATAAGACGGCTTTTTCATATCAATTATTTTACATAAAATCATATTTCAAACCATAAATAATGTTCGACAGCCAAATAAAAGAAACAATACCAATACGGGCTTACAGTTTAAGGCTCGACATTGTGTTGTCTACGATTAGACAGCTGATAACTCATTCCCGTACGTCGTATGGTCGTAACACTATAATGACCTTTGCTTATTGTCACAAGTGCGCCGCATTCGCGATTGTTGCCCGACGCCTGTTTGCAGGTGAGCCCACTACAGTTATACATATCTAAAAACCGAAAAACTTTTAGGCGAAAAAGGCACTATTCCAGGCCCATTTTTGATTTTTTTGCGATATTAGGTAAAAACAGAAGCTTCTTATCCTAGGAAAAATAAAATGGGAAATCTTTCAAAGGTGGCACACTACCTTTAACATTAGTTTTGAGTTGGGATAGCCAAATTGATGGCCATGGCCTGAAAATAACAGTTTGGGCACTTGCAGCATTAAAAAATGTTTTAATTCGGAGATGTGGAATTCAAACTTTCAGTTTCCAGATTCTAAGGGGCTAATCAGTCGGGCACACTGTGGTATTTCCGATCCATTTATGGAAACGTTTCCATTTTTGGAACAATGTTCCAAAAATGGATAGGGGAGAGTGGGGTAATTTGGCCGCTTTTTTTAGAAAACGTTATAACTTAAAATTGACAACACATTTCTGCATTTTCTCAACGCTGGCAGGTGTCGCATTCATTTTACTTTAATGGACAGTGAACTTGAAATGACAGAGTAATTACTTATATTGAAATTGTGACGTATTACAAAGGTCTGCAAGGCGGCCAAATTGCCCCACTAGCAGGGTTATTTGGCCGGGGGTGTGGGGCAATTTGGCCGGTGTTAGTTTGCGGTCGGGATTTCTTTTATATTGCGAGTCAGCTTCAGATTCAGCAATGGCGCAGTGTCAGAAAAGTGGTTTGGGGATCTAAGTTCGCGGAACAAAATGTTTAGCTGCTCACGGAACAAAAATCATAAAGTAAGGCACTGTAGGGCCATGCGTATTGTTCTAGGTATGCTTTAAGTATACAAGATATTTGCCAGAGTCTCAGTCAGAAACAGCAGCTTCTACATATAAAATAAAGGTTCAAGGAACACAGCAGGTTGTGGCCTTACAGCCCAAGTGTTAAGACTTATTTATAATTAGTTAGCAAATCTGGACATGCAGGTAATGGATGACCACTGATGCTCAAAATTATTCATAATGGAAAATATACAAATTATTCTTAAAATTGTGAATGCAGTGAGAAAAATGAATGGGGTATAAAAATATACACAACATCCAGAATATGCTTTTCAAATGACACATTTTCACATGAAACAAAAACTGCTAAGTATATTGAAATATTATTTGAAATACCTTTAAGCAAAATCAAAACATAGCCACGTGGACTGGTACCTACCTACCTAGATATTATCAGTATAAATGGCCTTGTACCTACCTATACCTATCTAATGCAAGTTTGACAAATTTGACGCAATCCAGCTTGAAGCAAATAACCAACAAATAACGAACCACAAAGACACAAAAACATGCCAGCACTTAAAGAAAAAAGGTCTTGTGCAAGACAACCCCCAAAAACCATGCCACAAATGATTATAATCAATAATAGATAATTGCCAACGCGCTTGCCCAAACTGAAACGGACGCCTCTCGCACCTCGAGCCTTGAGAAATGGCGCGGAGGATGACTCGGCGAGGGAAATTAGAGGAAAGGGATTTCCTCTTTACTGGTTTTCAATTTGATAAAAATGATTCAAATTGATGAAAACTTCAAAATAGCATATCATATTTAAAAAGAATCTAAAATAAATGAATATTCAACCTCAATCTGGCTGCTTTATTTCAAATAATATATTTATAAGCAAAGGGATTTTATGCCCTAGACAAACATTACTTCATGTAAAAGTGATATCAGCATATGTCGGTATTATACCTGCAATCGGCATCAACTGGGCAATAATTTTATGCTATGAAAAGCGCCGTCTCTCAACGATTCTAACGGTACCCAATTTTTTATAAATACAAGTCGAGATTGCTTAAACGTTCCAAATTAAGTGAGTTGTTCCGTGACGAAACATGGTCACGGCGTTTCAATAAAACTATATGAAAACGTCCATAAAAATATAAAAATTTGACATAGAAACAATCAGAATTGAACAATCTATGATGCCATACCTAACTTGAACCGATTGCAAGCCTACTTCAACCTTTATTCTACCCTTACTTTTGTTCCGTGTCACGGAACAAGAATATGGTAAACTGAGAAATGCACTGCCATTGAAATGCCGTTATGAGGATATGGCAGCCTCACTGAACGGGCGAAAGCGACCGTCTTTTGGGAAATTCGACAAATAATGCGCATCACGGTCAAAAGTAATGTTTACTTTTTATTTGATATCAGTGTTTCCTGCATAAAAATCGTTTTCTGCCCAATAGGGGACGAGAAAGCAGGAAATCGGTAGTTACTGATTTGATGAAAGAATACGTAAAAGGAATGGCAGTGTATCCATAAACGTGGTGTGGATTGTGCATTGTGCAAAGACATTGTGGTGAGGCTGAGACTTGAGGACTTGCCATTCAAGTCGTAGGTATTGGTATGGGTGGTTGTTCGTGATAATATTGATTTATCGTAAGAAGCATCTAACCTCATTCCGTGCACGTGACATGCAGGTGATCATGGTTGAATTGGATGGTAGGTATCATCCTGTCACGGGCTGCAGATTCTCTTTCGTAAACATCTGATTCTCATTCGTAGACAAACCAGGTGAGAAATGTGATGGAATGGAAACATTTATTTATTTCACAAACACACTCAATAGCATACATTCAAGGCACGTATACTGGATTCATTCCTTCACGCTTGTTTTAAAACTTGCTGGATAGTTTGACATGGTTTGTCAATACTTCTATCTTGTAAGCACTTCAACTTTGGAAAGTAATGAATGACTGGCATTTTAACTGATCCAATTATGATGATTGCATGGTGAAATTGTGGAGCAACTGCTTCTTATCTGTTTCATTAGTACTTGCAGGATGCTTGCTTGCTGCTTTGGAGATCTGAAAACAGAACAAAGCACAATGTCAAATTTTCAATTAACATGTTTCTTTAGTAAGTTTCCCTTTCAGTCCTGTGATGCCCAGTTGCAGTTGATATTTAGTCAGTGACGGAACAAAAAAAGTGATTATTAGCAGTGAAAAACCTCACAGAACAAATCTTCCAAGTTCAAAAAAATTGAGAAACCGGCCACTTTTCTGACACTGCAATGGCGTGTGCCCTATGACGCATTTGCCGCATTTTGGAGGTTGGCTCAGGGGTCAAAGGGGTCAAAATAGCCAAATTAGCGGCTCTAGATGCGATCACAGTTTTTTACGAATAACTTTTGAAGTAATCAAGCTAGGCCAAAACTTCGAATACCATCGTAATTCTCTCGTCAGTCCGCATCGAAAGATATATGTGTTGACCTTGAGAAGTCATGGTCAAAGGTTGACCTCAGGTCACGTTGCATCAGGTCGCTTGACCTCAAGGTCACGTGATTTCAAGGTCATCATGCATATCATTCGATGCGCCTTGGCGAGCTGAACAGAATGAGACCATTTGTGCGGCTGTACCATTTTTATGTAATGATTTATTAGCAAAAAACGTTTGGTAACCTTTGATGACGTCACATGCTCTTACAATTGGCCAATCGGAAGTAAGGCATCAAAGTAGTCAAAGTTGGTCATGAATCATGTCAATTATGGTACAATTGACCATGAAAACTCGGCCCTCCCAGCATAGTGACCATGAGCGCACCGGCCAAGTTGCCCCGCTAGTCCCGGCCAAATTACCCCATATTGCCGTTCTGAAAATTTTTGTCGATAAAGTCATCACGGCTTTACGGAATTAGATAAAATTGCTCTTGGAACCGCTGAACACCCCCAAGAATGGCGCTATAAGGTCTGAATTCGTTTTTAGCCCAAATGCTACATGTTATACAACTTTGTAAACAGAAGTAAAAGTTACCATTTTCTAATGAAATTAACGTTTGATTAATTTTGAATAAAACTACGAGGGGCAAAGTTTTGACATTTGTCCTCCAGTTATTTCTACCCATGACAAATGAATACAGACTAGAGTTATTTCACTCACTTTTATTAGACATCGTACAGGTGGGGGCGGCCAATTTACACCACCGGCCAAATTACCCCACTCTCCCCTACGCCGTTTCCAAAATTAGAAACGATCTGTTCCATAAATGGAGACGCTGTGTGCATCGCTACCTTTAAAGCAAACTGGGCATTGATTGGTGCAATTTGGCATGCGCAGGATGCCACCAATCGACAGCCAGCATTCTAGTTTATGTTCCTGTTCTCCGACTTTCCGATCAGAAAACCGGAAGTTGACGAACGTGGCGATGCTTATAACATGTTGATGTGATAAAAAATTCACACGTTTTTCTAATCGAAAATAATAACATTTATGAATGTTTTGGACAAAAAAATAACGTTTTTAACTACTGAAAGACTGACCCATTGATTGGAACAACCACATCACCGGGAACTTCAGTTTTTCATTCATTTTCACGCTGCGTTTTCCGGTGTACCAGCTGCCTGGTGGTCGTCAATCTTCGATTAAATCGCATGAAAGCTGTTGCAAAGCCCTATTTGGAGACTTAAGTGGGCATTTTATGATATTTCAAATGTGCTGAATATGATCGTAGGCTCGGATCAACGTAAATATCCGTGCAAATACGTAAAAAGCAGGATGGAAATAAGGTCTGCACCGTCGTCACACCAAATACCGTTGTATTCTGACGATGAATTTATTCATTCTAGCTCATGTGTAACATTTATATTAATTTTATATATTGAAATGATATCTACGCTTTATGTATTGCCCACTTTGGACCACATCTGTCCAGTAGTTTCTGGGAAATCTTAGTTTTAGTTGACTTTTGAATGTGCTCCAGTTGCGGCGCGTAAGGTATTATTATCGAACCCGACGTCCAAGGTAACTGCCGAGAGCCGAGATGCTAAACGAGTCCCAAAACATCAAATTTTTAGTTGCATGTGAATTTTAAAAACACATTTAAGCTAAGTTTGCACACATTTGAACTTCAGCGTTTCTATTTTTGGAACATCGGCGTTTCCATTTTTGGAAACTAAGTCTCCATAAATGGATACGATTCAGGAGCATTTTAAAGACGTGAATTTTAATGCATACGACAGCTTTCCATGCAAGAAGACAAGTGCTTTTGGTGTAACTGAGCTTGTTTTACGCGAAACAGTTGTTATACATCGAATCCAGCCACCCTTGGCAAGAAAATATGTGCGGAGATGTTAGCGTTTCTATTTATGGAACGAGCGTTTCCATTTTTGGAACAGAAGAGTAGTCAAAGTTGGAAACGTTTCCAATAATAGAAACGTCTCCATAAATGAATCGGAGATACCACAGTGCGCCCGACTGTAATGCAATGGAATGACTCTGAAGAATTTGTGACGTCAGCGGAGATCTAACGATTCTTAAATCTTAGGCTAAATCCATCGTTAAAATGTGGTGGTATACACTGCTTTGAGCGCAACGTCTGCCGCACTTCGAGGCTGCCAAATAATTGCTTCCAAATAAGTTGCTAGGAACAGCGGAGATCCCAAAAGGAAACAAAAGTAAAAGCCTAATATCTTGAAAACCAGTGAATATTTTTCAGTGAAATTTGGTAGATATTCATTTTTGATCTTTCGGAACCAAGGGACATCACTTGTATGCCAATTCATTAACTTTTTTGAAGGTGGGAGGGTCCCTTTAAGAAGAGGTGCTGTACCCAGAGATGTAGGTTGTAGATTTGTAGGTGTCAGGTTGTATGCTAGGTAAGGTTAGGTGAGGAAGCAGCATCTCTGGGTATATTGCCTCGCCTTGGTTGCTAAAACAAGTGTGACACCTGCTTTGTGACTACCTACCAAATATTGTTCATACCAAATATTGTCATAACTGCCATGTAAATGTTAAAACTACTTGGTACGTGAGGTCAGATTCTGACCTCATGAAGTAGTTTTTGCCTTTGCACAGCAGATATTATGATAAAAGTCTGGTACACCCCCAGCAGAAATACAAAAAAAAAAATCAAAAACTTTTACCACAAGTAAGTTGTAACCTGATCTGACATTCCGAAAAATTATTCGACACCTGTAAAATGTATATGAATTGGTAGCTTTCGGGGGCTGCTGCCTCCTTCATCAGCCTATGTCCCAGTACAACAATTCCATATTTAAAACCTGATCTGACCTTGCCTAATGCAACATAACCATGTCTAACCTGACTGAACATGAGGTTGGGTGTAACTTGATAATGTTCTGTGCAAAATGTATCTTAAGTACTTATCAATGTGCAGTCTCACTTTTAAATCTTAGATGTTTTTTTGTTCATGTTTTTACTTTGTGAATTTCTTTGCAGATGATGGATGTAGGATCCCGCATGATATCTAAAAAAAATGTCTGACCTCAGTCCTCGGTTAATAAAGCCAAATAAATCCAAAACACCTTGTCACCAAGGTGGATTTATTAGTAGATGCCACTGATAGATGCAAGTAGATGCAAGTAGATGCCATGTAGATGCCAAGTAGATGCCAAGTAGATGCATGCAAGTAGATGCCACTGTTACTGACTGTATATCCATAGAGTATGTCTAGGAGCTTTAATGCTTCAAAAATATTCATTGAATCTGATTCCTTCTGATATTTCCTAACCAGATACATTTGATCTATTGCCAATTTTTTATATTCAACATTCCACTCTGTGACTTATAACTATGGTATGCAATGCTTTCGTGAGTGCTCATAGTATGGAGTGCTACTGACTATTCCAAAAGCACTATGAAATCAGGTTGCAAATTGCAATGTTGAGACATTTCAGAGTTGAGGTAATGAAATGGATGTTTTTGGTTGACAAGTATATTTTGTCGGGCATATGCCCAGGATTTGGCGGGGGATTTCGGAGGAATCCCGGGGTCTCTATGGAGGAGTTGGAGGGGCCCTAGCGGTCAAACACAGACACTGGTGGTTATTCACAGGAGGCCCCAGGTAGTAAGAAGGACCCTAGCTGTCAGGCTGGTCAGAGGGCCCTGATTGTCCTTACGTGATTGTTGGGATTCCCGTGAATTTCCTTCGCCTCCGACGTCATTTTGGGCAACGTACGTAGGCCTTCGGCCCGCGTGTGCCCTGATTCCATCGGGGGGCCCTGAAAACCCCAAGGGCGGGGGGGGGGCGGGAATCCCATCCACCCCTCCCCCTTGAGTACGTCCCTGCATTTTGTAGTAGTGTCAAACTGACCATGATGTATTTCCTTGGTTTCAGGGTTCTAAAAAATCATTGAAGATAAAGCTGAAGCTGGCGAAGAAACTTCGCCAGAACCAGCCGATCCCTCAGTGGATTCGCTCACGAACTGGCAACACTATCAGGTAAAGAATGCTTGCTTGCTGTTGCTTCTTCATTGCCACCCTAGCATTACATACCTATTAACTTTTCGTGTTGAGTGTTCTCAATCAGAAGCATTTAATGCAGTATAAAAACTTGGATGCCTTGTTATGAGAAGAAAACTATTTAGAAATGTGATGCATCAAGATTAGCAAATGAGGTGATTTAATGTTGAATAAGGGAGATTTTTGGAATGGTCCCAAAGGTACCATCTGTTGACGTGTGACGTGTGCATTCCTCGAATGCTGATAGTACCCTCCCCCTTGCTACTTGGCGGCTACCGCAGACTTATGTCTACGAGCTAGAGCTGCGCGGTATATAACAAATTAACTAAGGTTCTGAAATTGAGGATGTGCATGTATGACACGCCTCGCCTCTTCTTGGTGACAGGCACTCCCAAACTGAATGCCTTTTTGTATGTGTTGCACCTGTGTAATCTCAGCTATTCTGCGTGGTGTTCACGTCATATATTTTTTTCTCATTTTTATCCTCATCTTTGTTCTGTCAGTCAGACAAGTGGCGTGAGAGCTTTATGCCTGCCATTTTGATTTCTATTAAGGAAATTCCTGATATGTGAAAGCTTGTATTCAAACAGCTCACTGACTCAGTCTACGGTAGGGAGAGAGGCCGCACACAGCTTAGGAGGGGTATTGGCCCATGTTCAGGACGTCGAAACTCGCAACCTTCGCTTTAACTTTGCCTATTTTCCATCGAGGGTAGAGTTCGTGGGGACCAGGCCAACTTAGTGAACATAACGTCTGACTGACGATCTTATGGATAGTTGTTTAAAAAAAGTATTGTATGTAATATGTATTCCATGGCCGCTGTCCCGGTGAATTAATCGAGGACCCCTCAAATTGGACGACGGTGAAAACAGGGCGCCTGGGGGCTGGGGCGATTTGATCAAGGTTCGTGAAATTCACACGTGACATTTAGGATCTTGAAGGCCCTTGGAGGGGGGAGAAGCTCCAAATGTCACGTGACTAATATGCCCTCCGGCGCCCTGTTTTCACCAGCGTCCCTCAAATTCAGATGTGAGTCATCGTTTTCTCGCTGCCTGTAGCAGACCGCCGAATGCAAGCCGAGAAGACTGTTAGGTTACTGATAAGCATAGCATTTTGAACCCGCAGCCTAAGTGGATCGCAGCAGCCTTTTTCTCATGTCATCCCTACCTCACACCACCCTTTTCGCTACTTTACTTTAGCATGTGTAAACATTGTGGCTTTGAATCATTTTGTCCAGCGCTTCAAAGTTCATCTGCGGTGCCGCCCCATGTTGTATAATTGCAAACACGGTACTTACGCATTTGCCTTCCGACAGGTACAACGCGAAGAGGCGTCACTGGCGTCGCTCTAAGCTGAAGCTGTAAGCCCCGTCCGCTGCCGTCAATTCCTCGCGGACTGGATTGGACGTGCTGGTCACCGCGCGCCGGGCGACCGAGCGTCTTTGCTGAAACATGTACCGTTGAAAATACAATTGTCCATCCACTGAAGTAAGATTTTTAACGCAGTCTGCGTCAAATGGGATATTCGAGGAACGGGCATGGGTACGGGTCGGCTTGTAAGCTAGGCAATACTTTTGCGACATGGGGAGCTTGCCGCTGCTAGTATTTAGAGTCTTTAGATGTTCAGTTTTACTGGGTGGCCGACGTTGTGCTGGCATTTTCTGGCCTAGTGCCGTCTGCAGGTCGGCATGTACCACGCCGACTGTATACATGGACTTCTACTGTAGACGTAGTACGCTTCTGCTCTACAGCTTGCGGCATATTGTACTGAATAACTCATTACGGGGACGATCCAATCACAAGCCAGCTGCACCATCCGGATCGGCTTGTCCTAGACCTCTCAGCTCTCATAGTCCGAATGCGACCTGTTGCGAATTGATGTTTCATGTATCAGGGTTCTCACTTCTCAGTCAAGGCTGCAATTTAATGAAATGGTAGCAAAGTTTCAGTTGGCGGCATTTTCCTCTGTTTCAAAGAACTGCTTACCTGAGTCCCACCGATCCAATTTTTGTCCACTTGGTCCTATTCTCTGTTATAAAGACTAGCACGATATCATTTGTATAAGCCTTTGTCTGAAAACGAAAATTTCTCGAAGTTCATTTTATTCGTCAAGTGTGAAAAAACACTTCTGCACCCTTAGACGACACATTTCAACGGCCAAATGCAAAAATGATGCCGGGGGAAAAACGTCGAAGACAACGGCTAGCCGTTTACATAACTAACATGAGAACTGGAATGTTAACTGTCCTATGCAGCCATAAGCCGACGGTCACCGCGCAGTACCAGCTCCATGCAAACAGTCATCTTTGGCAGTTTTGTTCTGTCAGACCTTGCCCATTATAGATGCATTACGAAGTAACACGCATACAACTTCTTCAAAAATTGTTTTGGATGCGACGTGACCCCTATGCGTTCACAAAACTAAATGAACACCATCGAATGGTTGATTCGAATGCACATCCGTAGAGTGTTGTTCAGCCGGGCTTCCGGTTTATTCTTGCAGTAGCGGGAGGTACTGCAGGTTGAGCACCCCGAGGCACGGCTGACCGGGCCACACGTGGTCGCAGCTCGCTAGTTACAACTTCACAGTTCTCAGTATTCAATTCACAACTCTGTTCACAGATGCCCATACAAAATCTCAGATCTCAGGCACAGATCTCGTTGACATCAATCTACGCTATACATAATGCTACAAGCAACAGAAACAATGCCAAAAAGCTCCATAGTTTCGAATAGCCTCTAAACTATCACACGGAACATCTGCAAGCGAATTAACTAACGCATGCGTGCATTTCAAACCAATAAGCTAGTGTGAACAATGAACATGGACGGAAATGGAGGATATGCATTAGCATTACGCCGGTAAGAGCTCAGCTGATGCACTCGTTGTGCAGGCAATTTACTTCGTTCTCATTGCGAAAAAAGGTATCTTTATGTCAATCTCACAACTAAATAAACACGTGGCAATGGTGTCGGCTCACAGACGACCAATTTTTATGTCTGGTAATTCCCGTTTTACCGAAAAATGGCTAAACATGACAGTTTTGGACATGGGACAAGGGAAACGGGTCGCAAGGACAAATCGTACTGACAGACCTGAGCCTGGAAAACAATACTCACGTTGGTGGGCTAAAACTGCTGCGTGATGTGCATATCCTCCATTCCTAGGCGTGGACTAGTGATACATTGCATGGTGGAATGTAAAAATGAAACACTCGTGCACTCAAACACGAAGCCAGATATACATGAGCATCTCACACGATGCGTTGTTCAACATATGCAGCAAGGCAGGTGTAAAACATGCTTGTGCATTCAAAAATCATACACCGCTGGCGACAGCTACTAGACGAAAGCTCACGCTGAAACTGGGCTGAAACTACTGGACGAAGAAGTACTGCTTCTCATCAAGCAAGTCATCTAGTACACTAAGCTGCATAGCAAAACCAACTACGAGCTGCGCTGCACCGCTCCGCACACACTGGAGGGCCTGTCTCACGGCAATCACGGCATAGCGTCTCCAGCATGCGAACTCACTGACTCGCCGGCCAACTCACCGCGTTTTATACTCCGCTGGTGCGCCGATTCGGCGAACTGTGAGTGCAGCTCCGCGGCTGTCCTTTGTCGCGGCTGGAGATGCTCAGGGAAACCATCAGAAGCCAACGTAAATTAATGATCGCCATGTTGCACTTATTGTAAGTCGAAAGCTCCGAAACTTGACCCAGAAGGATATGACCAAAAGTTTCCTCTCGATGAAGAAAATGAATGGGTCTGCATTTGCATTGGCAAAAATTCAGCTAAATTCATCACGCTGACGGGATATGGGAGAAGCAAAGGTAAATAAATTACGACGTGGTCTGTGCGTTACGTCTGCGATGGTCCGAGTCACATGGGCTCGTCCTGGTAGCAGCTGGCCACCGAGGGGCGCGGCTGGTCGGTGTAGACGGAGACGGACGGACGATGGTGGTCGGTGGTGGTGCTGTACAAGGACGGACGGCGCGAGAACCGCCGCGAGTTGCCGCCGCTCAGCATCGATGTCGGAAGTGAGTTCAGGGTGCCGCCCATCTGTTGGGAGAAAACATGATCATTATGCTTTTGAGCCGCGACCGGACGTTAGACACGGACTGTATAAGAGCAGGCAAGATAACTGAGGATCGCAGATGGAAAGAAGTGTGAGCGGCTGGTCGTTCGAGAATGACAAGCGATAGTCGCCATATTGTGGGTCATGCCAGCAAGCGGTGGGACAAGAGTGCTCGTCAAAGAAAGCGAAGATATAGGTCTCAAACGCAACGCAAACGCAAACTCAAGCGTTTGCGGAGCGGGCCGGACCGTGCCCGTGCCCTGCTTGCGCATGTCCTGACCTCTATCGCCCGATCGGCGAACTCCGCAGATGGCAGAATGAGGGATCAACTGGAGAGTTGGTGGCAATTGAATATAACCTTCAGCGTGGTTATGGTGGAGAACGACCGTCTCCGCCGTTCACTACTTTCTCGTGATCTGGTTGCCGTGAGCAACCTGTCATTGACCGAGTCGAAAAGGATTTACAGCTGGCACTATTGGCGTGCTCACCTTCATGCAGGCGATGTCCTCTAGTCGTGACACCTCGGTGAGCTCGTTGAACATGGACCACACGATGAGCCAGCAGTAGACGTTCAGCGGCACCATGGCGGCCCAGGCGGCGCACATCAAACCGTGGTACGAGAAGTACATGTCGTTGACGAACGCAGCGAATATGAAGGCGAAGAAGCGCCACACTGTGTGGAAGAGCATGGCGAGCAGCCAGGGCCGTATCCGGGGCTCGTACTCCTGCCGTGAGAGAACATACAGGATCAGCAACGCACGTGGACAGGGACAACGGCAGGTACAAGCTGGCCAACTAGTGTTAAAGACATAATTTGCCACATTACATGTTGATATACTCAGCAGAAACAAACTCTAGAAAAGAACAGGCTTTATTTACCTCCTGGAGCGCTTTGAGTAGAAGGACGCTGGTCACCAGAAGCATGACACCCAAAATGGTGCTGCCCAGGGCTAACACCATCAGACACCACCTCACTGTAAGGAAAAGTGATAGGTTAGCAGACATGGCCGGTAATCAGTTCTCAGACTAGGTACCGATTTCTTTTGAATATCAGTATAACACATGCGCAGGTTGACACACATGGTAGTCATGCCCAAAATACTTGGAATAATATTTGACTCACATTAAAAGTTATCACTCAATGACCATGTTATGAACACAATATAACAGGCACCCCGGCACACACCGTAAAACATTATATTACGTACCATGAGGGTTGCCGGCATAAACAAACTCGAATGAGATGATGTAGTAGCCAAAATGATCCTTTCCTGGTTCGGCCTCGGCCAAAGTGTACATGTCAAATACACCAGTGATGACGGTGAACAAAGACTGCAGCTGCAAAATGAGAACAGAGATAAGCGATGCTCACGAAACATGGACTTGTAGCTCATGAACAATCTGCGAGCGGCAAGCATCAGAATATCATGCATGACATTTTCAGAGGGGACTAGACACAGTAGCCAGTGCTGGCCACCCTATGGGAAAAGGACTGCAGCATAGCATCAACTCACTTGTGGAACTAGACCAAGTGGCAAGTGGTACTTTTCCACCTCAACAGAATGGGAAAGTAGGAGATCACTGGATTTAGTGTACCGATCCGGGCAAACACTCATTAGAAAAGGCTGTACAGGCCCCACAACGGATGTCATTCAACTTCACCTTGCATTACTCAGTAACGACATTAACAAGAACACTAATGACGACACACCGACCGACTTACAATTGAGTAGAGGGCCGTGTAGTGGGAGGCGCGCGACACCGTGGTGCAGCACGCGGCACTCAGTACCGGCGGGCGCCACTGCTCCTGAGGCGCCGTGAACCCGGCGTGTGAGCGAGCCACCGTCGAACGGATCGAGATAGCCGAGGCGGAGCCGTACATGGGCATGTTGCGGCGTGACTCGACCGTCTGCCGAGATACCTGCGAGGCCGCGCGCGACGGCGGCCGCAGCATCTCCGCCATCTGCGGGAAAGAACATTTTTCTAGAAATGTCTGTTTATTGAAAGTGCAAACTGGCATCATTACCATTATCAGCAGCACTGTAATCATCAGACCGAACTTTGCCATTCCAACAGCATCCTGTTTTTTCAGATCATGCTGGGTGTGCTGTTCAAGTACCTTCTGATCCTGATTAGTAAATGATGGTTAACATCTCACCAGAGATCAGCTAAGCCCTAAGGTAAGTAGGTATCTTTAGTTTTATGGGCTGGAAAAGGTTGTTCCTGTAAGGATTTTAAGGACAGGTTGCAGGGAAAGCTAACCAGTATTTGTATTATGTATGTAGTTGACAAAGTTGTCAACTACATACATAATATTGTAACTACATACATGATGTAAGTTCTTACATCTAGATCTGTGCTGGGCACTGTTTGATCAGAGTTTTCCCGAAGCAAGTCTGGTGGAGATCTTGTGTGGGGCCTCATGCTGCCAATGAGTATGCTGGTGCTGCTGCACCCAACCAGCAGCACCTGAAAGAAGGAAATCAGTTCATTTCACAGGCGACAGCATATTGCATTACTGAACACAGATAAAGAGAGGCTAACATTCTGCTCATAAAGCATTTCTCTCTGACTAATCTGCTCCTATCCTGATATCATCTTTATTTGACTTCTCCAAAGGCAAGTGAGAAAACTAAGCAAGTTTTATTACAAAATTTGCTTGAACATGCAGGAAGCTAGGAAATTTCGGGGAACCTGAACCACAATATCTGGCATTGCCTTTGTATATCTGCAAGGAAGTCATTGTAAGAAATTGACCAAGATAGGTATTAAGTAGTTCAGGAGTTTAAAATAAAAACACCTTCAGAAGTTTTGAAAGTATGCAACTTTTCTTTACCATGATTAATATAATCCAATCAAAATGAATAATAGCCTTTTATTCTTGCTTTTTCTCATGAGTAAAGGAAGCCCTCCCTAAACAACTCGGTATATTTTTGCCTTTGCATGGCAGTATGGTGCTGGATCTTCCTCAGAGAAAATCAGCAAACGAAGGTCTGGTTCTGAAAACAGCATTTTGGCTTTGCTTTTGGTTTAAGTTATGAACAAAAAGTTATTTACCATTTTTATTACAATTAGGGGAGAACCGTGTAAAACACCCTGGTAGGCAAAACATCCCATGCCCTTGTTTATGTTACAATTGTTTCATTCCTTTTATAAACACTTTAGGTAAAACAGGTGCTGTGGAAGCAAAATGCTGCGGAAGTTTGGTGGGTTTTATTATCATTGGGCTGATTTTATAGACAAAAATGAAAAAGATGAATTTATGAGATTTCTTAAATAAATATCTGTAGAGATTGCATTAATTCACTGTTCAGTTGTCACTTTGATCTGAGATGCTTTGGTACCTAAATAGAAAAGTACGGCTGGAAATTTTTAAATGCAATATTTATGCAAACGAAGCTCATCAATCAAAGTGAGGTGTTTTTCAACACCCGTAAAGTAAAACACCCTGTTTGCAGAGGTCTTGCAAAAGCTCATTCTTGCCAGAATGCAACATCCAAGTGCCTTGCATATTATTTTGTTAAATAGTCGGAAGATAAGACTAACAAAATACCTAATGACGCATGGTGAAATAACCAGTTTAGAGGTGACACACCGTTTTTCCTTAGGGGGGGGGGCGTTTTGGACGGCCCTCCCTAATGAGAGGCACTCAGTTAATATTCATTCAGGACTGGACACAAAACTGGTTGCATGGAAAAACGTTAAACATGATAAAACCATTACATGCATTTTTCAAACTTAAATTTATTGCTTTTAGTACAAATATTACCAATATGAATATTGATTCACTGGTTGGTCGGTTTGGTTTAAGACGACCGCCCCCCAAGTCCCAACCCCAAAGTTTCGCACTTTAATCCAAAAGTTCTTTAACCAATCAATTCACCATTCCCAGCAAGTTTCAACTTTGTTTACACCCCACCCTGACTCCGGGGACACTCCCACAATGTGTTTAGACAAGAAGCCGCGACTTCTGTTTTGTGCTGACAGCGAATAAAGGAGCCAATGATAGCGCTGCGCTTGCGTGTGTCGGCGAATCGAAATCATGATTGTGAACAAAAATGAAAGTATTGAATGTAGAATACGCGCCGCTGATGCCGCATAATTTTACTGCCATATACCAGTATAATTTCTTATCTAGTCTTAGGCTTACAATTCTAGTAGGCTATCTAGTGATATTGTAGCTATTCACCAGTCACCACCAAACAAAAAGGCAAGTAGTGTAGGTACGCACATACCTATAGCACGGTCATTGACTCATTGGCGTCGAAAGCGCGGGGGGGACGGGGGACGCGCCCCCCCCCAGCCGATGAATCCGGGGGACCCGGGTCCCGGACGTCCCCTCCAAAAAAATCAACCATGAATGTTTTAACCCTCGCCGGCCGAGGGGGTGAGGGACGGGTGCCGCCCCCCCCCCCAATTTTTTCGCGATAGCTCCGAACACGCTGGAGATAGAGAGCTGAAACTTGGCATAGGGTAGACCGGGGCAAGTCGCCCCGCCGAGGTAAAACGCCTCACCGATGTTTCTCGGAACTGGCAGAGTTCTGGGGAAACATCCTCTCTTCTATAAAACGTGCTCTATATGATCATTATATGAGCAGACTGGAAAGAAATTGTGATGACTCTTTCGGGAGATATAGCCAAAAATGTGTTTTTTTGAGTTATTTTTATGTTTTGTTGTCAGATTATGCATCATGGCGTTCTTTTATGGTCCACATCAGGTTAACGACTTTTATGTATTTTGAACAACTATTGTCTAACGCTTATCATGCCGGGTTGGTTCGTGTTAAATTATGTCTTGCTGGAGTGCAAGGCGTTGTTCTCTGACCGAACTACGTGATGGGGTAAAACGCCCCAGTAGGTCGCGGGGCAGAAAGCCCCATGGGGCGTTTTACCTCGTGTGTTGTTCGGGCTACCCACTTTCTAATGTTCGGTAGCTGGCGAACAGTAAGTTTCTATGCCTTTATGTGTATTTTTCTCAGCAACTGGATGGCAAAGGAAGTATTTGGTAAACATTTGCATTGCAATAATGTATTATTTGGTCTTATGAGGCAGGTGAAAAACCCGCTCATACAATAGTGTCATAGCTGAACACCTGACAGGATGGAATGTGCTAACTTCAGTGCCGTGCCTCCAGAGGTCTAACGGACCTCTCACATAAGATTTAGCCAACTACCATGTTAAATCTTTAATCTAGAGTATGGGGCTACTTGCCCCAGACTGTGGGGCGTTTTGCCCTGGGGTTGGGGCAAAATGCCCCATTTGCAGTTGCTTCACAAATCACTTCCTAGCTTGGAGTCCGATCATAAGTGAATGAATTTGAGGGGTGCAGTTTAAAGTAAAATGTCCAAAGAACGCATTGCGCACAAATTTGGCCTTCTAGGTGATGTGGGACAAAATTCATGTAGCAAAATAAATTATCTGGGGCGTCTTGCCCCAGGCTACCCTACGTACTTTTGATTCAAGCCGGATCTTTTGACACCAACCGCATTTTCGGGTCAGGTCAGGTCCCTGGCCAATGACGTCATAAGTAAACCTCTGCACGGTCTTCAGATGTCGTAACTTTGCAACGCCCTCACTGCCAGAGGGAGGAGCTTTCACAGGAAATGAAACTTGCAGGATCTAATATCCATTACGAGTCGCGCAACTTGTAAAATTATATCTCGGATTTTCCTTAACCCGCGCACCGACGGGGGGACGGTTATCCGCCCCCCCCCCTGAAGTGTTTCGCAAATAACGGAAAAACCGCGGCGCAAAGCGCCGCGAAATTTTGTACGACTGTTCTGTCATCAGTTTTACACGTGGTGTGTAAATTTGAACCTCCTAACTTTTAAGGTCAGGTCACCAGGTCACTTTGAATGACCCAACCTCAAGTCACTTTTTGCAACTTTGTCACCATGTCAGAGCTACAGTAGATGACGAAGTCCTTTGAAAGTCGGAGGATGTTATGAGGTCACTGGTCGCTACAATTTGTATATCTCGGAATTTTGATATCGATGACCTAAGGTCAGGTCAATTTCTCGACCTCCCCATTATAAGTCAATGGGGGAAAAATCAACTCCCTGTTTTTTTTTTCACTAAAACGCGTTAGAATGGCTCCATATACCATACATGACTTCATATACGATCAACCTTCACTACCCTGAGGCCTGATTTGCTGTTGGGCAGCTGTAAGGTGACGGTCATGTGACGTCATCAAAGGTCACCAAAGGTTTTTGCCAATAACTCCTTACAGGAACAAGATACAGCCACTCGGATGGTCTCATTGTGTTCAGCTCGTCAAGGCGCATCGAATGATATACGAGATGACCTCGTGGTCACGTGACCTGAGGTCAACCTTTGACCTTGACCTTTCGAGGTCAACATATATATGGCTCGATGCGGATTGACGAGAGGATCACGATGGGCCCTTAGTTTGTTCCTAGCTTGACGAATTCGAAAGTTATTCGAGAAAAACTTCCTCCATATCTAGGGCCGCCATTTTGATTTTTTTTACCCCTGTGACGTCATCTTTGACCTGACCTGAAAATGACCTTTGTAAAAATTGTAGACCTTGTCCGTGCGTACTCCATGCCGTTTATCGCTTGTCGCTATCTTGCTTCGATTTCGAGATCTCAGGGGGGGGGGGGGCGTTCATCCGCCCCCGTCGGTTTTAAGTTGGCGCAGACCCCCGTCGGTGCGCGGGTTAAGGTCATATGAGGTCAGGTCATTTTCGTGACCTCACAAATAAGTGGGGGGGAAAAATGAAAACTGTTATTCTGGCGCCAGAAACGATCTCCAACTATCTCAAGCACACAGAATCGTCGGATTTGATGCACTCCTCGCAAGGTTACATCTCCAGTTTTGCAATGTTGACCTTGCGTGATGTCAGTTATTACGTCATTAGGGTCATATTACTTTTTCGTCAATTGCTCCCGATCAAATTGAGCTACTGAGCCTGGAAATCCACTAATGGACTCAGGAAGGAAGACCTGCCGAATCGAATGATATGCGACATGGCCTACTTCGACCAATTTCGTGACTTGGGGGCGCTGACCTGACGGTGACCTGAGGTCAACACCCAAAGTTGACCTCACCCAAACAAAAAGTATATCATTCGACGCGCCTGAGCGAGACGAACAGGATGCTGCCAAAATCGCAGCTCTGCGGCCGTTTTTAGAAATATTCACCAAAAACGGAACCGTATCTTGGGGTACTTGATATGACCTCAGAGGTCACTGGTTGACCTAGGACCTTAAAATCGGGTATCAATCTCTGCGTCTCGTAACGGCGCACAGGCTCGTTTTTTTTTTTTTTCGCGACGCGCTAGCTCCACCAGGGGCGAAACGGCGAGGGGGGTCGTACCAAGGTCGTATCCGCCCCCCCCCCCCTCGGCCGGCGCGTATGTAGAAAACCAATAGGTCCGGCGAGGGTTAAAAAGTGAGTTCCCGGTCGTGTCACTCGCTCCATTATTGGCTGTCAGCTCACAGATTGTTAGTGACAGGTTAGCGTCGCCTGGCCAACGGCAGTCGGTCGGCGTCCCGGCTCATCCCAACTCGGCGCGCGCCGCGCGGCGGCTCCATTAGTCGACCGACGCGCCGCCAGATAGAAGCCAGCGTCCGGCTGCAATGAACGCCACCGTCGACAACTGCGTGCTGCAGATGCCGCAGCTGCGCTGCCAGCGGCTGGCCGTCTCCACGGCCGCCGGCGCCAACACCTCCCGGCTGGTGTGCGCCGCCAGCGACGGCCAGGAGCGCGCCACAGACATGTACGCCGCCCTGGTAGCGCTCTCAGTGCTGATCGTGCCGGCGGCCGCGCTGCTCAACCTGGCCGTGGTGGTGACCGTCTACATGAACCGGCGACTGCACACCGTCATCAACGTGCTCGTCACCGTGCTCTGCATGAACAACGTCATGTGGACCGGCATACCCGTCATTTTGGTGAGCTTTCCGAACCTCCAACAGCCGGCGGCGTGCCACGGCTTCCTGTTCATCTTCATCGTCAGCAGGTCTGTGATGTTCGCCTGTATCGTGATTATCACTCTCCTGAGGTACTTCACCGTCGTTAAAAACCACCACTTTCCTCCCAATAGTTCTAACATTGCTTTCTTCGTATCAGCCACCCTGGTCGTTGGAATAACCAAATGGGTACTGCAAGCTTTATTCAAAGAATTGAGGTGCCAAAATGAGGTTGCATGGACTCCGGACAATTTTGTGATACTGGAAAAACGAGACGATTCCACCAAGACGGCTCCGGCTACAGTCGTTTTATTTGCACTCGAGTATGGCTGCGGCATTATTATTTTGATCTTCTGCTATGTGAACATTTATAAGAAAACCGCTCAATCACGTGGACGACTGGATCAGTTCAGAAATGGCCAGCCTCCCGAACAGCAAGCAAAACACGACGGCACGACCGGACTTGAACCAGAGGGCGAGACCCAGAAAGACAGCCGTTCGACGCTCAAACAGAAAGCATCCGCAAGTCAGAATCTGCCGGTTTCAAACGGTCTCGACCAGCCTTCCACCTCTGCCCAGCTTCTGTCGGTAGTCACCGTATCCAGTCGGGACGAGGGGTCTCCGCCGCGCGCGACAGCTCAGTCGGACCAGATGGCCTCCTCAGCGGAACTGCCCGAGATCGAGCCAGACACGCTAAGGAGCGTCTGCGCGCTGCGCTTTCGCCAGAAACCCAGCGCGTCTTCCCACTCGTCATCTGAGCTCCCGGCGCTGCAGCCGGCCGTACCAGCGACAGCAGCGGCACGAGCAGAGCATCAGCAGCCAGCGGCAGACCATCCTTCACCGCCACCGCTCCGGCGAGCCCACTCCTGTCTGCTGCTGCGACCGGCACTGCTCCTTCACCTCACCCCCCGGGAACCGGCCGGTGCCGCCGGTGAGCAGCCGCGACCGCGCGCCAGCCGCCGGCGGGTGGACATTGTGGCGGGAGCATCGCTGGCCGGCTGTCTGCTGCTGTTCCTGGCCACGTTCATCCCGGTGCTGTTTAGTGCCCGATTGATGGCTAGTACGCCGTGCGTCATCCTGCCGTGGCGCCGCCTGCTCACCATGGTCTCCATCGTCCTCGGCTCGGGCGTCGCAGCCGTGTTCAGCGCCGTGCTGCTGGTCGTTTTCAGTCGGGACTTCAGGCAGGCGTTCGTACGCACGTGCCGTGCGGCGGCCGGTGCCGTCGGCGTCAGCAGCGAGAACGTCAACAGGAACAGCGAGCAGCGGCAGACGGGGGACGGGAGCCGACACTAATCCAGCTAGGAGAGCAGCCAACGACAGCCAGCTACGAGCGACGGGAACGGCAACGCAACCCACAAAGACCGTAGGAGAACAGCGACCAGCAATGGCCAAACACCGAGTAGCAGCAGAAAATGGTCGACGGGATACAACACCGGACAGCAGCGAACGAAACACGACATCGGATTTGGTCGACTTAGGTCAACAGGCAACAGCGAACAAAAGGTTGCAGGGAAACAAGAGCAGGTCGCCGAAATCATTGCAGGCAGTAACGGACACAGATTTACGGCGAACAGCATCAGCGAGCGAGGGGCAGCATCAAACAGATACGGATATTGTACGGTCGATGGGCGGCAATGCCCTATAAATAGTGGCCGGCGGACTAATGCGTCCATCAGTGTCAGTCAGTGTTATTCAGTTCCTAATGCCAGTGCATCAACACGAGGCCTGCTCGAAAAGGTAGGTCCCAAATCGGGATTTCTGTAGGTGCGTCTGTAGGCATATGAAAGAAACTGCCGCAAGATTCTCAATGCCAAGATGGACTACTCCACGTTATGAAGAAGTCAATAGCAGCATTGGTCTTTGAGCATTACTGAACGCTATAGACTCAATGGTTGTCGGGCAACTAAGCAAACACCGCATGGTCCGTAGGTTGTCATGCTATATATATATATATTGATGTTATGTGTAAGTAGCACATTTATTGTTGAAAATAAACAAACTGTGCGTCACTTTCAAGGGGAATAATTCACTTTCTTGAAATAAGTTTTTTTTTTTCACAATGGATTTATTATTTTTTAGGCGCAAAATGATCAGAAAGTAAAGTAAAAGCTTTTTAGAGTATTTTCTATATTTTAACCTGCGCACCGACGGGGGCACTGGCGGTCGCAGCCGCTAGCCAAGGGGGGGGGGGGGGGGCAAAGTCACACTCGCGGGACTTAACATTTATCCGTCACGGGGGGGGGGGGTGATCGGCTAAGTTTTTACGTGTGTAGCAAAATCTACGCCACGAAGCGCCGCGCAGTTCGCGTAAGTTATGCTACATCCATCTCAATCTTGCGTAAAATTTTTGAACTCAGTTCCATTTACCGTTCCACGGTATGCTCACCGTGGAACAGTAAATGGACGGGCCGCTGCACCATGGCCACGGATCGTTGCAGCATATACCGAAAGGTCGTGCATCTTAAGAATTTCGTAGGATATTCATACGAATTTTGACGTGAATATCGATTTTTATAGAAATCCAAACATTTCGTAGGAAAAAACTTGACTCGGCCCCTGTGTTTTTTCTTAAATAGCGAGATAACAGCGGCGCGCAGCGCCGCCAAATTTTGGGTACCTTACCGGGCATCAATTTGACACCTTCACACAAAATTTCATGTCACAGGTCACCTCGGGTCAGGAGTTATTGAGGTCAAACTGAGGTCATGTTCGAGTAAAAATGAGCAAAAAAAAAAAACATGACATCTTGAAACGCTCACCAATTCTACAGTTAACAAGCAATTTTAAAGTTCTTTGTGTGGTTGTGTAGAGAAAAGACGGCGCTACAAAACTGCTATCTCGGATTTTCGAAATTTTGGGATTTTTACCCCCCTCCCCCCAAAAAATGATTTTTTTTAAAAGAAAAACTCAAAGAATTTCCAAGAGTTTTTTCGAATTTCGGAAAAACCGGAATATATGTGATAGTCCCTGCGCTCTTCGATATACATACCAAATTTTAGATCGATACCTCTTTTTTTGGCCAAGTTAAAGGAAAAAAACTGTTGAAAATTGATGACGTCAATTTTTTGAACTCACTTTTCAGCAATTCTAGACCACGTAACGCAAAACGGAGACCACCATTGAACTCCCCGTGACGAGCTGCATCGAATCAATACCCATTTTATGCAATAATATCAACTTTGAAATTTGACCTAATTTGACCTGACCTTGACCTGACCTTGACCTGACCTTGACCTGACCTTGACCTGACCTTGACCTGACCTTGACCTGACCTTGACCTGACCTTCACCAAAACATAATCTCAACTGACCCCAAGGGCTGCCTGTCCCACATAATCGCATTTGGCATATAAAATGGACCATAAAACATGCATCACATGATATTTTTAATTTGTGACCCTCAGTGACCTGTCTCTGTGACCTGACCTGGTATCAGTGACCTCAAATAGCAAAATATGTGTTTGACGAACATTTCCCCATCGATGATTTTCAATGAAATGCATTTTACTCGATTTTACAACGCATTTCTTGAAATGCCTGTAAACGGTGAAAATTCGACCTTTGACCTGACCTGTGACGTCATCAGTTTGACCGAGGTCAATGAAATTGGGTCACAAGGTAGTTCCCCGTTGGGGCTATCCAACGCCGTTTGCCGCTTGTCGCTATGTTGCGTGGTTCTCGAGATCTTAGGGGGGGGGGCAAAATGCCCCCCCCCCATCAGACCGCGTTGCTCGGCAGACCCCATCAGGGCGCGGGTTAATGTAAGGATATCTAAGGTAAATACAAATTCCACGAGAGGAAATGGGTGTAAATTAGTTAAGAATTTTTCCAAAACCAAGCTGAGACAGACGTTTTTTTTTACCAGCAGGGTCATAGAAGCTTGGAATGGTTTACCGCCCAAAGTCATCAATAGTTTCTCCTAATGGAAAAGACTCGTACTTTAAGAACGTAGGACATGATGTGGAGTTTGCTAATGTAATAATTGAATGAGGACTTTACTCCACAAGAGATCGTTCGGGTTGGAGCTTTCGAATTGTATTACAAAGCTTCGTCAGCGTATCGTAATCGGGTTCGGGGGTATCGGTCGCTTTTTGCGACCGATACCCCCGAACCCGATTACGATACGCTGACGAAGCTTTGTGATACAATTCGAAAGCTCCGACCCGAACGATTTCTTGTGGAGTAAAGTCCTCATTCAATTATTACATTAAGAACGTAGGTTAGTTTTCGATGAAATTGTGTAATCGGTCTTGAGTTGCTGCTTTATGTGTGTACGTACGTACATTGTTTGTTCGTCTTATGTAACCTCGAGTTTTATTCACGATCGATGGCAACACAAGTCAAATTCCTAAAACCAGACGTTTCGGCCACAGGGGTCAGGGTGCCTTCGTCAGTGGACACTAGTGATTAAATTAAAAACACATAGTATCAAAAACAATCGGTATAAATCGTTCGAAGTCGACACATCGGGCACAGGTTTCGAAATGAAATTTTCGAAATTTAATCACTAGTGTCCACTGACGAAGGCACCCTGACCCCTGTGGCCGAAACGTCTGGTTTTAGGAATTTGACTTGTGTTGCCATCGATCGTGAATAAAACTCAATATGTCTGATTATTTACATTATGTAACCTCGTTGGGCCCAAGTAGCCTGTTGCTGCATGAAATCCATGTTATGTTATGTTATGTTATGTTAAGGTGGGATGGTCACTTTAAGCATTTTTCAATATTGTCGACATTGAGGAAATTTGACCTACAGTGAAAATGTAGAAAACACAAGTGGTACAGTCGTCGCTCACATATGTGGGCTTCAGCTAAACTGATGTTTTGCCCGACCCGGCGGGGCCGCGCGGCGCCTCGACCGTCGGCCAGCACGAACGAACGAACGGCGGCTCGGCGGCGGCGCCTCGGCCGGTCAGTCTGCGCTCCGCCGTCCAGTTGTGAGGAGGCGGACACTCGCCGGCGGCCGCGGACTGTCTCGTGCATGTGACGACCCCATCGGCCTGTCCCTGGCACCGTGACCGGTTACAGCTGACTGCAGTCTAGGTGGGTCCGTGAGGAATTAGGAAGGGGCAGCTGCTTGTTTTTCAGTCGTCGTCCTTAGGCCGTGACTCGTAACTTCCTATAACTTGCGGTATTTTTGTGAGTACGTTGACTGTATGCATGCATATCAATGCATGAATGATATGCATATCTGCGGGTTTTCTTTCAGGAATGTATTTATATAAAAAAGTCCTTTTGAAGGAAACGTAATTAATTGCAAGAATTGTTTGCAAAAGGTACGTAGGCCCGAAAGTGTCCCAGCCTTCACGTTTTTCCAAAAAGCATAATTCGGTGGAAATATTCGATTACCGATATATGGTTTATTTAAAATCAAGAAAGCATTCTGCGACCTCACCTTATAAACTCCAAGCAAACTATTGTCATGTTTTCACATTTCATGCTATAATTTTTGAATTTACCAATCGCCCACTTCTTGGCTGTAGGTATACACAATTTCCACATCAGTACATCTTGAAGGACGTACTAAATTATGCGTACCTTTGCCTTAGATATAGGAGAATCGGTGTTTCCAGACAAATCCTCAAGTTGGTTTCGTAAGGGGACTCCTATGTCTGCCGTCCGTCTTTTCGAGCTGCTCCTTTCAATGCTGAAATGTTCTTGACGTTTACTGACGTGCCGATCCTACTCACGGTAACAATAGAATTTTTAGCGATGATTTATGGGGACGAGACCTGTTGACTTATCAATTTCATTCCCCACATATAACTTTTGGTGACATTGGAAAGGCCCACTTGCAAGTTGCGATGATTTATGCCAAGCTCGCTTGATTTTATCACGCTCTTAGGTAAATTAGGTTTATTGCACTCTGCACTTGCAGCTCTGGGGGCCGGAGACAGCTGCTGCCCGCTGTCACGATATCCGCAGGCAGGCACTCTGTCTCTCCGGTCCCCGGGACAGCCACCCCAGTTCCCGCAGACAGCCTTTCAGCCTCTCTGTCTCTTGGCAGACAGACACTGTCTGCATCTCCTGTCTCATCAGACAGCCACTTCAACCCCGCAGACTGCAGCCCGGCGCCTGCAAGTGCAGACAGACGTTTTCATGGAGAGCCCTCCGGTCCCAATAGACAGTCCCCCCGTCTACACAGTCAATCTTCAGTCGCGACCTGCCCATCTGAGACACAATTGCAGCTGATGCAGCGGTGACCGGTGCTAACTGCTACGAGCGGTGTCGTGACCCTGCGGGATGCCTCTGGATGGAGTCAGGGTCGTCGCCGGCTGCTTGGTCTGCTGAACTGTGCAGACCGATGATCGGCTCCCCTGCCTCTACTGACGGCTGTGGCAGCACGGAGACAGTCGCGGGGGGGGGGGGATACTGACGACCACTCCCCGGTGTCGGGGCAGCTCCAGACACCGACTGACATGGCTCAACAGCCGCCGACAGCTCGCGCATTGCTCATCAGTCAGACAGACAGGCAGACATAGTTTCATATCGAACTTTTGATCAAAGGACTTTGCTGAATAGAGGCTTGCCTTTTACAGTAAGCCACTGACAGCGGGGCTCTAGCAGGCTTGGTGTTGTCATTTCTTCTTGGGTAGGTATTTACACTATGTATATGTAGAATACTACTAAAATAGGTATTTAAATACACACCGCAATATCTGCCTGGCTCAGCGTCCCTCGACAGTACAGACTTTCCTTTAGAGCTTAGTTTATACCCACATTTGTAGGTTCGTCGTGCGTACCTATATTTTTTTTTTGTTGCATGAATAGGAGCGTGAAACAAAGTCACGTTCGAGGCTCTGACGCGTTCAGGGCTACTCTTAGCTCGGACATTTCCTGAACATAAATTGTTCAGTCTTGAGTCTCTTCCATCTTCGAATCCTTACCAGTCGCAGAAAGACTAATTTATGTTTTCATAATCCATGGCACTACGAAGGATATAAATTTCATGGGCTTTAAATGCGAAGTTTCCAAGACACTCCAATGCCTAAGAAAATTAAGTGTAACATTATAATTGATTATTAACATTACAATTTCAGGTTATTATATGATAAAATAAATATAACATCTAGGTATTTGGAGCATCCCCTTGACAGACATCAGCGTATACACAAATGGTCGGCGATTACCCAACCTTTCACTTCTCATCTTACTTTCATTAAAATGAAAAAGGTTAGATAGGCACGATAATCTGCTATATATCTTTTCAAGCATCACTGTACGATTTCACAGATCTCCGTCACCAGATTGATAAAATACCTATCTATTTTCGCTGCTTCCACGCAACTTAGAATCATGTAACGGTCACATTCCTGATGACAATGTTGTAGTGGAAATTATTGCAAATAAAAAGTTATAGCATAAACATCCTTGGTTCGCTAGAACTATCAGCATCTTAGCAAGCGAAAACCGTCACTTTTACAATTTATTGCCTTCGTCAGACTGTTAGATAGATAACGTTCTACTCGTATGTTTATAGGTGAGTGCACTCGTCATAGGAATTTGACGTGGCGGGAAAACGTTTCTTTTTTAATTTACATTTTTCATTGCTGAATTGGATGCCGATGGGAAAGGACCGGCTGTCATTGAACGTGATTCTTACATTGGGGAAGTCAATAAATAAATTACTGCAAAATTATATGGGACTGCTCTGCTGGCACCGCGCCAGGTCAAGGTCACGCCGTGTCTGCAGCTCGCGCCCGGCTGCCACCGAGTATCTGCAGCAGAGCTCGAGTTGGTGCATGGCCGCATTTCCGCCTTCCCGGACTGGAGAGGCGGCCCGCTGAGCGACCACGCTCTGCTGGGGTTGTGTTACGGGCCGGCCGGCGAATGTCAATCGGATAGCCACAGCCCGGCATAACCGACTTCCAGTGCCGTAATTTGAAGTGTTTTTCGATTTCATTCAATCTGCAACGTGGTGGAGATAGTCGTATTTATCCCCGAATCAATTAAAATTGAGGTCTATCCGGCTACCGTAAGCAAGATCATGTCCATGAAAATATAACACTCACCCACTGCACTGATGTAACTGTCCGACATTAGCCGTCCCACTGCAGCTGACTGGGTCGCCAGCCGAGTGGGGCGTCCGTCCATCGACGACCCCGTGCCCTCAGCCCCCCTCCCCCGTCAGTCCATCGGTGTCGGCGTCTGCCGCCTCAGGAGCGGCGGCTCATCACTGCTGATCGGCGGGCGCCGGTCCGACTCGCCCACTCGCACATCATCCATCATCAGACCAATCCGGCCGGCGGACGACGGGACACGTTCTCGCTGCGAGCCGTACCGGCACCGCCCGGCCGCTCTGACGAGGCTGACCCGTGTGGCCGGTCAGGGGAGACTGACTTGTGGCCGGCTAGTCATGGGAGACTGGACTGTGTGAACTGTCAGAGAGGCGGGTGCTTCGTCTCCGTGGGCTAGTCTTTTTAGTGAGGGATTGCTGAGATGTGGAGAGGTTACAGGCTATTGACCCACGCCCGGTCAGAGGCTGCTTGCTTAGCAATCAGGGGCTTCTGACCTCCGCATGTCAGACACCAGACGGCGACTCCACGGCTGGTTAAAGGCTATTGAAAGGTCGCGCCTTTGAAGCTGATCTTTGCCTTTCTAATTGCAAAAAAAAAAAAGAATAAAAATGAACACGAAAGAAAATGTCATTTTGACATTTCGCCCAGCTCGATGGTCGTCCCTTGACTATGGAATGGACAAACGGGACCGGTTTGTCTCACTGATGATCGGCAGTGCAAGCATGCATACCTAAAACCTCGCTCAGTGAGTTGACCAACTACCCTACGAAAAGAATAACGTCGATTGCATGCAACTGTTCTTTTTGTCACTGCTGTCAGCAGTCCGACTAATACATAAATTCAATCACCGTAATTCGTTAATCTGGAAATACAAAGGTTTTCGTGTTACTGTGGTTCGTCTGAACCAAATTTTTAACCGATTAATGATTCAATGGCGTTAATTATTATATGGCGTGTGAACGAGTGTGCATCACAAGTGCACGTTTTTGAGACGTTCATCGATCAATTGCCGCCGATATGAAGATAGCCTCGCGAAACACATTCACGCTGCTGCACCATTGACTCAGCAATTAATATACCAATGCACGCGACACTTACGTGGCTGTCTGTCAACAGCGGTGACCTGACCTGCGTGCCCCAGAGCTGGAGGAGCAGTGACCTGGTCTGCACATTTTTGGGTCACTGACTGGTGACCTGGCTCCTGTGTGTTAAAACCGCGGATCAATGACCTGATTTATGTGTCAAAGAGGAGTAGTGACCTGTCATGTGTGCCTCACAGAACACCAGTGACCGAGCTAAATGTGTTTCGACAGGACACACCGGCGGCACTGGCAGTGACACCGTCACGCCATGGCGCGTCTGGCGGCGCTCTCCGGGGCGCTCCTGGCCATCACGCTGCTCGGTGAGTACCTGAACACGAGTGCTGTTCAGTGTCGACCTCCTGACCGGGCTGCACGAGCTGACGGCACCCAGCGACCTTCACTCGCCGCTGATCCACAGGGAAGGGCTTAGGAATGTCCACCCCGCCCAGAGTCCCGTCAAACATTGCAAACTCCGCCGTGCAAGCGACGGCTGGTAAGGCCGACAAGCGCGTTCTGCGCTAAAAGTATCCCGTATCTCACACGAACACTGTACCAGTACTCACCTTTCGTTAGAACCTTCGTCCACCGCTGCTGTTTAGTGTTAGTCCCACGCCGTGGCCTGTTGGGATGCCGAGCAGGCGCCCCCGGGACGCTCCGCTGAGCCTCTCAGCGGCGGCTCTGCCCACCAGAGCCCGGTCCGGGTGGCCATTGATGAATGACTACACACGCGGCCCCGCCAGGTAGCACGGGGCCGCTGAGGGTCGTATGAGTCACGCCGGTCGTCAGAGAGCACAGTCGTGTCCGCTGCCCGGGGGATGGGCGGAGGACGCCGGTCTCAGAGGACGGGCCGGGGAAACTGGAGAGGGACCGGGAGGACGAGTTAGAGGAATAGACCTGGGGAAGAGTAGTTGAGAGGACGGTTTGGGAGGATAGGTGAAATGATACCGTGACAGATAGTTCGGAAACAACGACCTCAAGGACGGCTGAAGTGTCAGACTCAAACACGAGGAATCAAATTCGGGTTCGCGTAAGTGCGACAAGTTGCTCAGAAGTCATGAGGCTCCATAACAGCACAGGACAGTTGATCGGCCATAATTTGGGAACGTCCCTCGATAACACTTCCTCCAGTGCAGCGGCGCCGGATCTGGCCGTGCAGTGGGTCGGGAGGGCGGGGCGGGGGTGGGCCGCCGGCGCCACTGCTGTCTGATGTGTCTGGCGGCCGGGCCCGGAGGAACCATCAGTAGCGGCTGATGGCTTCGCCGGCCCCAGACCGCTGACGGAGCCGGCGCCAACAAACGGCCGCACGCAGAAAACACACACGCCGCATTCCATTGGAAACGGCCGACGCCCCAATTTTAGACCACCTCCGCGCGGGAGGAGGAAGATTTATGGTGTACATGAGCCATAGGCTCGCAACTTTCCTTCAGTGAATAAAGAAACCAGTTTCTAGTCATTGTCGTTCTTTGGAAGGGCGTCACAGATAGCTACACTAAAACACCACATAAATCACAAATATCCTTTCGGGGAAAACGAACCTTAAATATTGATGTTATTGTCCGAGCATAAAGCTTATTTTAATGTATTCGTGCTTTGCGGTCGCATGCCGTTTGTTCATATTGTTGTCTTTGATTGTCAGATAGGTCCTTAAAAAATCAACTCATTATTTGGATCGTTATAACTAAATTTACCGCGCAAACGTTCAGTGAGCACAGCGAGCAGTCAACATTCAATAGTGAACAGCATGCACTGAGCATTGAACAGCGAAGACCGTGTCACCTCGTTTTATTTCAAACACTGAGATCAGACGGCCAGTGACTGGCCAGTCTTGTTATTGTTTGATCATTAGGACATGTTTTGACGGTGTAACTAACCATCGGAGGGGCGGGCGTCCGGCCAAAGGGTATAACTGACCACATTGGTCATCGGAGCACATTGAGTCACCGGATCTAGTGAGTCAAATGAGTCAAAGTGTATCGAGCTCGAGCAGGATGGTGTCATGGTGTGTGGCGGCGGCCAAAGGATGCGACTGGTTCGGACTGCTCTGAGGTATTCAGAATCGGCGCTGATGTTTGTTAGTGTGTTTGTTGCTTCAGCCACTCGGTCCGGCCGATGGGAGGTCCTGAGGATGTTTGCCGTTCGATCATGCGGTCTGTATGCTGTGTGGTCCGCTATCGGATGAGGCACAGTTGCGCTGTGCTGCGATCAGCGGCGGTGTCCTGCTGAACGTGCTGAACTGGAAAGCGTGATGGGAGTTGTGGCGAGTTCTTACTTCCTTTTTATTAGAGATCTTTGTTCTTATTTTATCACGCCTTATTTGACTCATGTTTATTTTCTTGTCATTGTTGCTGCGCGCGTGAAAAACAATATTTCTTTTTAGCTCAGAAAACCGAGTCAACGCAGGGTATATTGAATTAGGGGGTAGGACCAAGTTTAGTAGGCATGATCTCAGCAATTATCTTGTTTTATATGGCGGTTTTCATTATCACAATATTATTTTTGATATCATTAAGTTTGTATATCTCGGTTTTACGAAAAATAGTAGGGCAACAAAGATAAATTTCGCGAAAAAATAATTTTAGTTGGAAACATCCATTCTGGTATGCAAAATTCAGTATGAAGCCCAGTATAGTGACCGTCTACTGTGCTTCCAAGGCTGAGTACCTGATATCAACAGGAGCTGTTTACTATTTTGCCTTACGTTGCTAGGTGGTTGCTAGGGAGCTAAGGATACTCTCTTGCGCGATCATGTTGCACTTATTTTTCCTCATTTTATCGACATGTTGCTGTTTCTGAGACCTAACTCATGGTAAGAAAAAAGCAGTTTTCTTAAAATGTGTATTTAAGTGCCGTAGTATTAACACAGCTCTGCAATTCTGCTTAAATATCTCTAAAATCCTGACTTCCCGGAAAATTGTTGGTGGTGATGGGGATCGAGCCCGTCGATGAAAAGTAAGTCAATATTCAAAGGCTTCAAAACGTTATTTTTTGTTGTTCTGTGAAATAGCAATGCAAAGACCGATGACAGTGCCAGTGTTGAGCTTTCCAATGAAGCATTGCAATTAGTAGTGAGGTTATTATCACCTAAGATATCTTGCATCAAATATTAGAATTCTGCCATTGTCTTGCTGTAGAACAGGGTTACTTTCAGTCTCTTGGGAACACGATTTGCCGGTCTCAGATCGAAAAACACTTCAAAAAGCATTAATAGACAATGAAACTTCCCACCTGATAGCATCTCGGGTTTGTATATATCCTGTCTAGAAATTTCATAAATCAGACGTAAAAATGGCCAATTTCGTCAGATTTCGAATTTTTGCCATTGGGTCTAATGTAAAGCATGGCTACTTTCAGTCTCTTGGGAACACGATTTCCGTACCTCAGATTGAAAAACACTTCAAAAGTCGCAGATAGTAGACGATTTAATCTACAAGATAGCATCTCGCTTTTTCCTGTATCTGGTCAGGTATATTCATAAAACCCTCTCAAATATAGTCAATTTAACATTAAAGTCTATGGATTTGGAAGAATCTTCATATCCGACTAGATTTGGGCTACCATGTCTGTCGACCGGGGGCCGAGTCAACGTCGATGTTTGAAATTGTTTTTAGTTCAGTGTGCGGCCTACTTTCAAACTGCCATGTTCTTTATTTTCATCTCTCAATATAATTTTATCATATTTTATCTATTTGTCTCGGCCGCCACATTGGTGACCCCGACGTGATCTGAATTTAACTTTTAAACAGTAAATTATTGCTCTTCAAGATTGTATATATACCTGCACATTCAAAGAAGACTTTAAAAGAAGAACGAGGAAGAAACATGGAAAACGAAAACGAGATGCATCTACTACGTTACTCACACAAGAAAGACAACCGACCAGACGATCACCTGAAGAACCGCCGGTGGTTTCGGGCCGCGCCGCACCCATGCCGCGCCGCCTCCCTCCGCACCGGCTGATACCAGCGCACCGACCTCAAGCTCGCTTCTCCCAAGAGCGGCTCCGCTGACTTGTGGCCTAACCAAGGTGGATCCAGGCCGCGCTGAGCCACGCCGCCTGCTCCACCGTGGTGCTTCTTATCTTCGTACCTACCTACCTACATACCCAAGCGTTCGTCAACGACATGAACCTATACGTCGCCGCGCAGGGCCTCGGCTAAGGAATTTTGACTACTGGGGCAAATCGTCAAAGTGTGTTGGCGCCCTGCTGGGGGGGCCCCCCAGCAGGGGGGGCCGCAGGTGTTTGAACACCTGCGGTTTTTCCTGTGGTTTTTCGCGGATATCTAAAAAACGGCGGCGCTCCATCACCCATCAATTTTACACGTGTTGTAAAAATCTCAGACCAAGGTCATTCAAGATCAGGTTACCAGGTCACTTCAAGTGACCTCACCTCATGAAATGTTTCCATGTATGCCGTAGCTACACCGAGTGACCGATCGCTTTGAAACTTTCAGCGATTGATAAGGGCAACAGCATGTACAAAATTTATATCTCGGAATTTTCATATCGGTGACCTAAGGTCAGCTCACTTTTGCGACCGATCTATTATAAGTCAATGGGAGAAATTCAAAACCACCTCTTTTGGACGAAAGTTATTCTAAACACTATAAAACACTGTACGTGACTTTGACACACTGAACATGAAAATAGCACCCGTGACCCTTTTTTATGCCCCTGAGGTCATCTCAGTTCACGAATGGTATCTAACAGTTTTTCGCGAATAACTTTTGAAAGAGGCATGCTAGAGCGATGAAAATGCCTTAGATGTGTTTGGTTAGACGATGCAGATCGACTGATATGCAACATGACAATTTCCGGTCAGATCATGACTTGAACCTGAGGTCGAATTTTCAAGTTGACCTTCAAGGTCAAATTGCAGTTAATTTGATGCGTCTTGACGAGAGGAACATGATGTCGGATAAAAGAAAGCGCTTGCATTGGGCCTTGGCTCGTGCAAAGCATGAGTCAAAAGTTATTGCAGAAAAACTGTTCCCCCAAAATCGTCTTTAGTAGTTTTTGCCCCTTGCAGGCAAAACCGTTGGCGTTAGGTCAAATCTAAGAGAAATAACCAGAAAGCATGCTAATATGGCTATCAAATGCGCTTTTCCGCGGTGCTGTAGCTCTAATTGGTTCCCGAGTTAACCCGCGCCCCGTAGGGCTACCGGCGGACCCTACCACCCGTAGGGGGGGGGGGGCGTTTCGGCCCCCCCCCTAAGATCTCGGAAAGTTACCGGCCGATTTTCAAAATTCAAACGGCGTTCGATAGCCCCACCCGGGAACTACCTTGTGACCAAATTTCATTGACCTAGGTCAAACCGATGAC